TCATGAAGGTGCGAACACTGAATTTAGGGAATGGGGGAACATGAACGCTATCGATAGAAACCGCTCAAAGAGATGCAATTGTCGAAAACCGTCAGAAGACAATCATTATTGAATGATTATAAATACCACCAGACATTCAACTAGAGAGCCCCAAACAAATCAAACAAATTTACTATCTTTCATTACTTTACTTTCTTGCATTGTATCTTTACTTTCCACTCACGTCGTCAATTAAATTCCGACGTCTTTCTTAGTTGTAAGTTCCAGATCCGTGTCGCCGATTTAATTTCGGGGTGTATCTCTATCCTAGGTGTTGCATCGTTGATTAAATTTCGGCGTGGTATCTTTATGTTCTCAAGCTTTGTCGTCAAGTATATTCCAGCAAGATCTGTCTTCGTCTGGTTCATTTGTAACAATTACACTTTCTGGATCTCGTCATCAATTAAATTCCGGCACAGTTTGCGTTTGTGTAGTTATATTTGAGGTAAATTTGTTGATTCCCTCGTTCACCTGGATATTTCATGACCAAAGTTGGCACAGAACCTTTAACGACTTTCGGTGAAAGATATTTCATTGCGGGAAAAATTCCTATGAAATAGTAAGCCAACGTGATAATAGTCATTGAAGATATATACCTTATAATGGGCCCGCATGATCAATGGTTTTGACGATGTTGGTTTACAGAAAGAAATCTCCCTCAAGGTCTCGTGCATATGAAGCCGTACAGGTGTTGTGTCGATGTTCTTTTGATGTTAAATGAGACCCCATTGCCAAAATCAGACCGTTCGACTTTTGACAAGTCATGAAATGGGTTGACGAATTATAGAGTATGCTACCGCTATTAAGACTCGTCTACTAAATTTTTGTACTAAGTAACGTGATACAACCGTATGGGAAGCTTTAATAGCCGACCAAAATGGAGCACATCTGGTATGGATATGATTGAAATTCAGCAGTGTCTGTTGTGGTTGTGCCATGAAGTGGCGCCTGTCATATATTTGCTAGTACATGTTTTAAAGTTGCGGTCCCTCAAAGTTGGGTGAGGCCAGTTTCAAAAATTTGTTGTAATATGACATAACTTCTGAAGTAATGCGGCTATTAAGGTATTTGCCAAGTATCTTAAAAAGTTGTAGCACCGCTCAACACAGTTTAAGTCGTTATGGGAAAACTATTTCATGCAACCTCTAAATAACCATTCGTCAACCATCTCTGTCTAATAACATGCTTTACAAACAAACGTATTTACTTATATTATCCAAAGTAAAGAAATTATATTAACTCTAGAAATAGAATCGATTGAATTATCTCCTGGAGTACGAGTAATTATGCTCATGCTATATAGTAACCATGAAAGGAGATTTATGTAAATCTACCCTAATTTGTAAAAATCAAGATTATTGTCATCGTTGTTTTTGGAGTTAAAGAGCTAACAAAGTAACAAGGTTTTAAATTTCAAATCTAGAATGTCAACCTAATAAAAGGATACAATCTGGACATTAATACATTCAAAAATGTTTTAGATAGTAATAAATGCTGCTTTTTATTAATCAATAGGGTTATGTCAATTCAGAACTTGAATTGTGATTGGTAATTAAGGACACGATCAATATTTAGGGCGCGAATAACAACCATTCTGTTCTAGAAACAATTCCTGGAACAGAAATAGATTTTTCTATTTCTGTTTCGAGAACGAGTTTCTGAGAAAGGAAGCCCTTTTGATAACGACAAAAAATTTCTATTTCTGGAACAGAAACCCATTTGATAATAGCATAAAATTTCTATTTCCTGGAACGGAAACCCGTTTGATAACAACACAAATTTCTATTTCCCAGAATAGAAATCCATTTTTTTAGAACCCCTTTTAGGGTTTTTTAGGGGTTAAAATCCCTAAACTGAGTTTTCAAAAATACCATATGGGCACCTCAAAAAATTTAAATTTCACTTAAAGTGGGTGGCCACAGGTATTCTAAGTCATCCTGTGAAGTTTTGAAACTTTTGATTATTTGATTTTTTTTTTTTTGAAAAAATTCACCAAATTTCCTATTTTCCTGAAATCTAACTTTTTTTTATTTTCTGGAAATTTTTATGAATTTTTCTGGAATTTTTCAATGTTTATGGATTTTCTGAAAACAATTTTGAGATTTTTAGAAATTTTCCGGATTTTCTGAATTTTTTGTGAATTTTCTGAATTTTTTATTTTTTCTGAATTTTCTAATTTTTTTATGATTTTTCTAATTTTTTTTATTTTCCCGCCAGGAATAAACCGGACCGAACCGATTCGAATGGGTCTGACATGGTCAGACCGGGGCCAAATTTAGGAAGAGATGTGTTTTGAAGAGAGAAGACAGGTTCTTTTAAAAATGGTTTTCATTTTTCGTCCAGAAACAAAAAACCTTCTTTTTTTTTTGTTCTGATTTTTGGTCTAGAACCACTTCTGGAACAAAAAGTTTTTCCAAAAATAGAAAAATGAAATTGCGTTACTAAACGGGTTTCTGTTCCAAACTTGTTTCCGGGAACAGAAAACTAGTTCTTTCGCGCCCTTAATCTAACTACCAAACAGCTTCTTTAACGGCCACGCCGACTCTCCTTTTTTTTGTGTCTATTTTCCTCTTTTTATTGTATGCATTGTTTTTCATTTATATAAAAGTCAGTCAAAAATTATTTTAATTACTTTTACAGGATTAGTGGCTTGATATATAGAACGGTTTATTTATTCCTAGAGTCATATGATGATGTCCACAAAGTAAGAACAATTCAACTCTCATTGAAACCCAACTCTTTGTTTTAAATGGCAGTAGTAAGTTGTTTTAGGTGTCTTAAAGAAAAAGAGAAAAAATCATAAGACTAGATTTAATCCACTAACTAAAATTATCGATAATAGTCTTGAGTATCTCTAATAAATAAAAAACATTTTATTATTTTGGATTTAGGGTTGTCCATTATGTTGGGAGCAGCCCAACATGTTTGAGAGTAGATTTGAAATATCCCAATGATTGCTCATCAAGAATACCTAATAGGAAAGATTCCTATTATGGTAGGACACTGAAAAGAAATAAACCTAAATAAGGAGTATTATTTAGAAAGAATACCGGGATGGAATCAATTTTGATGATTGCCCAATTAGAGGATTTCCAATCAATTGGGGAGATTTCTAATTGGGATGTGATTGTCAATCAATTAGGGAGAATTCCTAACTTGGGTGGAGGTCTACCACTATAAACAAAAAGGCTTCGGTGGAGGTTTCTTAGTGCACCAGAAAATACTCCAAAGAGATCACAAGAATCTTCAATAATGTGTGTAAACATGAGAGATCTTGAAAGTTCATCAAGTGATGATATGTTTTGTGACCGTTGTGAAAATTTATTGTGAGAGAAACATTATTAGAGTGTTAATTGTAATCCTTTGATTATAGTAAAGTAGTTCATGGATCAGCGTCCCATGATTTTTCTCATTTTGGGTTTGCCACGTAAAACTTATGATGTATCGTTCTTCTTGTCTCCTGTTTGTTGGTTTAGTTATATTGCCACATATTGCGCTATTTTGACAGTTAGAATTCCATTACGATTAATTGCGATCCGACTTAATTTACAACACATTATTGACACAACACAAAAAGATGGCATGAATTTGCCCGGAAAAAAAAAACCCAATCTGATATGACATATGAGCATGCGGCTAAAACTGCACAATGTAAGCTACGTTAATTCATTTTTAAATAAGTGGTCATCGAATGGAAGCACTTTACTCTGACCGGATATAACATGAACAGTCGACATAAATATAGTGGCGCTGGAGAGCACCGCCTCTTTCCAAAATTTTCTAGCAATGGCCACAAGACTCTAGCTGTTGGTGATAGGTGAAGTGTGTGGCTTAGAATCTCAAGCAACAAAAATTCTTGCATAATAGTCTAAGAGTAATGACCTAAAGTGAGAACACGTTGACCATGTCTTCACCATTGTTACAAAAGTATGTGGCAGCACCCCCGCCACCCCCACCAAGCGAGTCAAGCTCGATCGAGCCCAAATTGAGTATCGGGTCATGAATGACCTTGATTGAGTTGGGTCCAAGCTCAAGCATTAGAAAGTGCCGACTCAACTCGATTATACGACGGCCATGAGAGAGAAGGAAAAAAAGGAACAACTGAGGGAATACATAAAAGGGCCAATGTGATTTCCTCACTATCCAGTTTTTCAGAGAGACTAATTTCCCTGCATTCCTACAACCATTATTTTACCACATTTTCTCATACCCCATAAGGAATTAACCTAATTGATTATTAGCTTCTCTAAACCCAATTAGATATCTTTGGACTGTGACGCTATCGAAAAGAGTTGTGCCACACTTTACTACATTAATAGAAGGAACGAACATCTATCTTTAAAAAAAGGGGTTCGGGATCCTATGAACTTTTCCTTTATATATGCCAATGCTCCTTTTCGTCCCCAAATTACATATAATTATAAATAATTTGATTAACATGAGAGTATACATCTAATCTAATCTAATCGTAATACATAAAATTTGATTGGTTGACCAAGTCTTGACCTCAAGATTAGAGGGAGTGTCCCTGTGAGAGTAGGTGAAGTTGTAACCCATAGATTCCCCAAGGCTCACCTCATTGGAGAAACCCCAGAAAACCAAATTCCCAACCCTGATTAGTGCACCCTATTAAATATCTAATCTCATCTAATATCAAATATTCATATAAAGTTGGCTTAGAGGTTTGTTGTCTTATTCTTTCTTATGTTTTCGTTAGTAGGTTTCGATAATCTGATGATCTGTTCGGTTTCTGTTTGCACGTTTATGCATAAACCAGAGGGCCATCAATGACTTTGCTTTGCATGATAATCAAGGGAATCTGGTCACCCAACGTGCTTCACGAAAATGCAGACAAAGCAGCAGAATAGGATTCAGTCATTTCATATTGTTTTACCCTTTATCTCTTTTCTATTTTTCCCCCCTTTTTCTCACTAATCTCGCTTGTAACCTCAGGCAAGGAATATCTCAGTGGCACCAGCTATATAACAAGTTCAAACCCCTCCTGCCTCCTTCAATCCATCCCTTAATCCCATTGAAATTGTTGAATCATGCAGGATTGTGAAGAAACTGCAGCTAATGATCTAAAGCCCTCCAGTGATCCAACGTCCTCTCTCTCTCTCTCTCTCTCTCTCTCTCTCTCTCTCTCTCTCTCTCTCTCTCTCTCTCTCTCTCTCTCTCTCTCTCTCTCTCTCTCTCTCTCTCTCTCTCTCTCTCTCTCTCTCTCAATTCCAATGCGATAATAATTACGTATGATTATCTGCATGCACGCATCCTGTGAAGAAGTTGATTTGGTAACCTGTTAATTGTTCAATAATATCTGAACTATTATTTGTAGTGGGTGGAACGATAACCAGAATCTGAAGAAGAAAATAGAGCATCTGCAAAAGGCGCTGGACGATCTGGTGAGCGTGAACTCCCTCTTCAGCTTCGCGATGTTCGTCGGGATATCCTTCGCGAGCTCCAGCCCGCATAGCCTCGAGACGCGGACACACTGCCGAGCCACCAGCCAGACGAGGATGACGCTCCTGCTCAACGAGGTGGTGTCCTTCGTGTGCTTCCTCCTCTCAAGCCTCGTCGCCACGGCCCTCAAGATGCACCTCTCCACGTACCTGGCACTCGGCCCCGAACGCATCGCCGACTTAAAGAATTTTTGGATTAGTAACGTGATGAGCCTGATGATCCTGGTGTCGACGTTGGGGTCGATCCTGGGGTGTGTCTACTTGACGCTGTCGATGGTCGACGTGGTCCGCGTGCTCCTCGGTAATCTCACTTGCGGGAAAAGCGACACGATTCAGGCCGCAGGGTGCTTGATTGCCATCAACTCCCTGGCCCTCGCCATCTATGTGCCCATCATGATGCAGGCCATCTTTCTATCGTACTTCAATCTTCAAATAGCTGGACAAACAGGAACCTAACCTTAGTAGTATTCTCTTCGCCAATATCATCATGTGTGGATGCCGATGATATTAATCAGCTATTAATTATCGCGATGTTCGTTTCTTTCGTATGTTACTTGCCCCATGGCAATCGGATAATCATGTACCATCGGCCTATATAAAATGGATTCTTATTTGCGTGACTGGATTAGGCACAGAGCATACATTTAACTCCTCACAATCGTTAAGTACTAAAGTTATTAGAGGAAAATCTCTTGGGGGAGCATTCGGCCAGACGCATTCGTTAATCGAGTGATCATTCGGAATTCGATTGTTTCCATGTCATGAATCAACGATGGTAAGTCCCACTGGTCTTCAGAGCATAAAAGCCACTACTATCGATCCACACCCGTCTATAAAATTAGAAGATTGAATAATCGTATCGTCTCTATCTCGTACAAATCAAATTCATTTGGATCGTCGATCATGTGGATCCATATCATTTATAGACCACACCAAGTATAACTTCTCCAATTATGAGGTTTGATATGGCAACGGGGTTTCGGGGCACAGCCCCCGCCGGTGGCCATACGAGGGTCAGCCACCCTCTCCGAGGCCCTACCGGATGGGGGGTTTCACCGCCACCGCTATCCTCCCTTTCTCGCCCGTGAGAAATTAATGTTCTTCTCTAAAATTTCCTGATGTGGCGGTGACATGTATGCAACGACATCAACAAACGAGAGTGACATGGCTGCATTGGGTCGCCAAGTCATATGCCGACCAGACCCAATTGACTTTAAGGACTAAATTGGTTTATTCAAAAGCACAATGACTCAATTTTGGTCATAAGTAAAGTTCATGGACCCAATTGAAGATTGAAGAATCAAAGAGTACAAGGATGGGTTAGAAAGGAACCCCGCATTGGCGATGGCTCGGACGGTTGAGTCACTTCAAACCCCGTTCCACGGTCCTACGGGTTGGATCTCCTTTTAGACTAGCATGTTGGGTTCTATAAACCCTCTAGCAACTCTTCATGGTGGAGTGTACCTTCCCTTCGACAAGCTCACTTTGACCTCTGTCCACATTGGTGATTGTTGTGTACGCCAGATAAGATGGAAAATCAGTTAATTAGTTGAGGCTTAACAAATAGGGAAAAAGATCTCGCAGAAGATATAAATTGAGGGTAATCGATCCACAACTCTCTTGCTTTTCTCATATTCATTACTAACTTAGGCAGCCGACAGTTCCCAAAAGACAATCTCAAGAAGGAAAAGTTCTTGTCTATGGTGGGCAGGTTCTTCGGAGCTCCCCTAAATCTTGGAAAAATGATACAAATAGTCTCTGAATTTTGGTCCAATGTGCAATGCAATTCTTGAACTTTTATTTTATTCAATGTGATCCATGAACTTTAGTCCAGTGTACAATATGTTCTTTGAACTTTTAATTTATTCAATGGAGTCCCTGGACAATTTAGTCCATGAACTATATGAAAAATTTTAATATTATTCCTGATCTTGAATTAATGGATGGACTACATTGAATATTTTTTATATAATTCACAGACTACATTGAACATGCATCAAAAGTTCGGGGACCACGTCAAATAGATTAAAAGTTTAGAGATCACATTGAATATTAGGCTAAATTTCAAGGAGCGCAATGAACAAATTAAAAGTTTAGAAATCATACTGCACATTGGGCCAAATTTAGTGATCATTTGTGTCACTATCCCCCTGAACCTTCAACATCACAACGTGGGCATTCATGCATCGTAGAAGAACAGAATATATGGAAGTGGCAACTATTTAGAATAAGACAAATGACTCGGGACCAAATTCAAAAAAGAAAAAAAGGAGACAAAATTGAGGGGCACGTTTAATAGTTAGGGAACTAAAGCTCCATTTGTTTCGCGAAAAATGTGACATTTCTAGAAAATATTTTTCAGGAAATTATTTTTTAGGAAAATGACAATATTTCTCGGTGTTTGACTGGAACCTTAAAATGAACAGAAAAATATTTTTCGTTGTTTGGTATGAAAAATATGAGTGATTTTCCTAAACAGACATACAATATTTTGGCCCCGATAACTTGCACATGGGCAACCGAAGAACTGATACGGGCACTAGAGTCCCGGATTCAGCCTTGATGGACCCTGACCAGGGTGATGGTGATAGGGGCACAGGCACCTACGTCCCGAGCCTAGCCTCGATGGACCGGGGGACTCAGCCATAGCTTTGTAAACCCGAGCCCAGGTGTTGGGATTCGAGCACAGGTACCAGGATCCCACACTCAACCTTTGTGGTCCCAGGCCCACGTGTTTGGGCTTCGGCCTTGCCTGGATGGACCTGGGTGAAGGCATGAGGGCCCAAATATGGGCATCGAGGTCCCGAGCTCGGCCTCAATGGACCTGGGCGCAAACACTGGCACCAAGGTCACAAGCCTAGCCCCGATGGACCCGGGTCCTGGCGTAGGAGACTTGATCTTGGACGTTGGGAATCGAGAACCAGCGTTGGGTTTTACATGTCCAAGCGTAGAGTTAGGGTAACGCAATGATACCTAGTCATATGTTTGGAAAATGATTTCCAATTGACTAGGAAACCATTTTGCTGAATTTAAGCATAGGTTTTCCATTGACTAGGAAAACATTTTCCGTTAACTCATTTCCTAAGCGAACCATACACCAGAAAATAAGGAAAATATTTTCCATGAAATAAACGGAGTCTAAAAGTCAACACATTTTTCTTTCATGCAGTTATAGCTTTGCTATATTGATCAAAATCTAACTCGTAAGTTAGAAGGGATAATTGTGCAAAAAGTCTTAAGCCTACTAGATGGCAGCTAATTCAGTTGGAAACATTTTAATTATGACGATTTAGTTATAAACCTTTTAATGATCTTCCAATTTAGTTAGTTTGACATGAAATCGCTGATGTGCCGACCGCTGACCATCCTATGCGGCACGGCCGCCACTAACATGGATATTTTTTGCATTTTAAAAAGAAATTTCTGAATTTTTCTTTTTTCCTTTTATTTTCCTTTCTCTTGTGGCCAACACTTGGTCATGGCTAGTGCTCGTGCCTGGGTCCATCTAGGCCGGGCCCAACCTCGGTGCCCATGCTCAGGTCCATCGAGGCCAGGCTCAGGACTCGGGTGTCCATGCCCCGATCCCTAGCGCCTAGGTCGAGATCCATCGAGGCCAGACCCGAGACTCTAGTTCCCATACCCGATTCCCTCAGCTACCCATGCGCAAGTTATTAGCATTCAAATAGTGTATATCTATGTCGGAAAATCAAATCGGATTTTCCTTACCAAACGATGGATTTTCCAGTTCATTTTCAAGTTTCAGCCAAATACCCGAAAATATTGTCATTTTCTTAAAAAATAACTTCCTGGAATACATTTTCCAAAAATGTCACATTTTTCTCAAAACGGCCCGAGCCTAAACCTCAAAAAATTTGGAAGGGCTTCTAAGAGGGTTTGATTATCCTGCTGTGGTACCCCAACATGGATAAAATGAATATCTAGTCTTCCCTTGCCGATAGATGCTTGCAGGTGGTTGAACCACGAGAATCATCATAGCCTCTCTAATTTTCCTAACTTCCGCAGATTAATGACAAGCTTCAAACGTGAAACTCCAAAAAGAAAAGAGAATATCACATTATCATCTTTATTCCATTTGCGCTTTTTCTCTTTCACGAACGATGCTTGCAAAGCAGGCCAAGCATATTTTTTTCGCCTCTATAAGAAACCCTCAATCCGTAAGGTTGGTAATTCAGAATACAAGACGAAGAAATCATGTCCGACAACGATAATCCGGCGAAGTTAGTCCCTTTTTCTCTCTCTTATGGTGAACAGAACTAATCATCAATACGAAACAAAATAATGAGTTTCGCTTTCATATTTTCAAAGTAGATTGGTTTGTCCCGAGAACGTTTGCTCGGTATTCTCCACTTTGCTCTTTGGATAACGGTTGTTTTCTTTTTGTTTTTGTTTTGGTGGTGGTTTGTCATGTTGCATTACTAGCTATGCAATGCTGGAGGAGGCAGTGGGGGTCCATCAGAAAGCACTGGACGATCTGGTGACCGTGAACTCGCTCTTCACCGCCGCGGTCTTCGTGGGCTTGGCGTTCGCGAGCAGTGGACAGCAGAACATAGAGGGCAACAAGCAATGCGAAGCGGGAATTCACGTGGCGAGGAGGCTGGTCAAGAACGAAGTGATATCGTTCGCCTGCTATCTCTTTTCCAGCCTCGTGGCCAAAGCCCTCAAGACCCACCTCTTCACCTACCTCATCGTACGGCCCAAAGCCAAGGACATCAATAACTATCGGAGCAAGGCTCTGAGAGTGTCCTTGTTCGCTCTCTCCGCGTTGACCTCCATCATCGGCGGCGTGTTGCTCTTGCACACCATGACCGACATGATTCAGCTCCGGCTCGGCAAGGTCTCTTGCAAAGGTCCCGAGATGATGCGCGCTTTCGGCACCCTGATTGCGGTCAACACCATCGCCTGGATCATCTACGTGCCCTTTGTTGGATACGCCATCTATAGATCCACAGTGATCTTCGACGGGCTAAAAGAATAAAAAGATTGCTCTTCCGAACCATCGGCAGGTGCAAAATTCTAAGTTTGATGCTGTGTCTTTACTTATATAACTAGCTACGTAGAATTGGGAGACGAGTGTTGAATAAAGGGCGCTTTCTTTGCTTCCCAGGATGGGAGTCAAATACATGTATTTGCGTTTATTTGTCAGCTTCTCTCCTTTTTACAAGTTCTGCAACCAATAAGAGGCAGATTCACCAACGCACTATCTTCATCACAGTGCATATTGTTATCTACCTATCAATCGTTGCTCGGCACGATTCACAATCCTGGCATCAACACCCGACATCGCAGCCGGAAAGAAATGTTAGGATTAGGCACACAAACACAACGAAATAGTGAGTAAAGCCAAGAAAGAGAAATCGAGACACAAGATTTTATCTCGGTTCACTCTTAAACTAAGGCTACATCCAAAAGAGGATTTCATTATAATTAGCATCTTCCACCTCTCTATTACAACTCTCAATTACAATAAAGAGAGATTATATATACTCAATAGATATTCATAAGCCCAAGCCCAAACTATCAATAAAATATGGGCTCAAACTGTAAAAGCCATTTGGCAGCTCATGCCTTCCTGTCAATGGGAAGTATAAACCCTACCCCCAACAAGTAATCCTAAGCCAACTATCAGACGATGACTTATCAAAAGTTAGCTTATGCAGATATTGAAGAGGGAAATAAAATAAGCAGCTTTTCTCCCACGATTTGCAATTGAATAGCGCTAGCCATGGATATGAATCGATAGTCATCATCAAGGCCGAGCACCGGGGGATACTTTGGCAGAAAAAGACCAAAATCATGCATGCCTCCCTTCAGATCTTTCCCATCTATAAGGCAATTTCGGTGTTTGCCCCTCATTCTTCCCAGCTGTGTTGCTGCCACTGGTAATTTCATTCTTTCTTATGACCTAATGAAATAAAACCCCAATTATCAAAGATAACAATATAAAGGCGCTAACGAAATAAAACTCCAACTTTTAATATGAAGCCAGCCAACTTTTTCGTCTGACAAAGAAATGATACCTCCAGGAAATGATATAGATAAACATTTCTTAGTAAATTGCACATCTTTTGGCTGACAAGCCTGTGTAATTTTGACTATTCTAAATTTCCAACTATAATTCAAAAAAAAAAAAAAAGACTCTTCACGGTTCAAGTCAAGTCAGGTTAAGTTGGGTTGACCTGACCCATTCCATAAATTATTAGGTTAACACCACGAAAAAACTCCAAACTGGTACACATGCAATAAATTTACCCCAAACTAATTTTTTGACCATAAAAAATCCTAAACTGGTACACCTGTAATAAATTCACCACATACTAATTTTTTTACTACCAAAAACCCCAAACTGGTACACATGTGATAAATTTACAAAATCTAATTTTTTTACCACAAAAAATCCCAAACTATAATTTTTATCTAATCCCTCGTAGAGAATGGGTGAATCTAAGTAATATGAAAAACGCTACACATTAAAACTCATTAGGGTTTGTTTATCAAAACAATGAAAAATAAGTGCTGAAAATTTAAGTATTGAATATTAAATGCTATAATTTTTATGTATTGAAAACGAAAATAATAAGTTTATTTGATAATATAAAGATGAAATTGAATAATAAATTTTATAAGTTTCTCACCAAACATAAGTTTATTTGATAATATTGGAAGGTTTTGACAATATATCTGACAAGGTTGTAACTTCCATTGGATATTAAGTAAATCATTCATTGCTTACGAGTGTTGAATGGTTTTTTACTTAAAACAATCAATAAGTCGCGTGTAGTTGGAGATTATCAAATGCACTTAATAACATTAACTGCTTAAAAGCTTATTTTTTAGCAATTAATAGGATTATCAAACACACATTGAATTTATTTTTTTTTGGTCAAAAAACACGCCTTGAATTTACTTGTTAAGTGATGTGATAGATTTATGTTCCAATTATGTTTACATAACTATTTACTGTTCAGCACATCACTTAGTGATAGGCTTAACTCATTGGATAAATTTTAGTGTCACTAACATTGCTAAAATAATTTAGGGTCAACACCACGAAAAACCCTAATCTGATATATATGTGATAAATCTACCTCAAACTAATCACAAAAAACCCATGTGTTAGCTTCTGTCAAATTTGACCATTAAATTTACTGCTGTGAATGACACAGGACGTGGCAAGTCCACGTGAAAATCCATAGGGTTAATATCACATAAAACCCTAAACTATTTGGGGTCAGGGTTAGTTTGGAGTTTTTGATTGTCATAAAATTAGTTTTTGATAAATTTGTTACAGGTCTACCGGTTTGGGGTTTTTCATAGTCAAAAAATTAGTTTATAATAAATTTGGGGAAAAAACCACCAAAAACCCCAAACTTTGCCATCTGTGACACATTTACCCCAAACTTTTTTTTGTGACGCAAAAAACTCCGAACTTTACTTTTTGTGACACATTTACCCCAATGTATTTAGTCCATGGGCATTTTCGTCTTTTTGCTTTTTCTTTTTTTTTTTTTCCTTCCGTGAGGGGGCCTCGCCGCCTGGGCGAGGGCTGCCCATCGCCGGATCCGGCGAGGGGGCCCTCGCCGCGTCGAGCGAGGCGGCCCTCGCCGGATCCGGCGAGGACGGCCCTCGCCTGGGCGAGCGAGGCGGCCCTCGCCGGGGCGAGCGAGGGCGGCCCTCGCCCGACTCGAGCGAGGTTCGCCCTCGCTCGCCGGCGTCGGGCGAGGTCCGCCTCGCTCTGGGCGAGCGAGGCGGCCCTCGCCGATCTCGGGCGAGGTCGACCCTCGCCCGGGCGGCTGACGGCGGCCCTCGCCCGTCTCGGCGAGGGCCGCCCTCGCCGGCGTCGGCCGAGGGCCGCCCTCGCTCGCCCGGCGAGGGCGACCTCGCCCGACGCCGGCGAGGGCCGCCTCGCCCGGGCGAGCGAGGGCCGCCTCGGCCGGACGCTGCGAGGGCGACCTCGCCGATGCCGGCGAGGGTCGACCTCGCGCCGAGATCGAGCGAGGCCGCCCTCGCTCGCCCAAGCAAGGGCCGCCCTCGCTCGCCCGTGCGAGGGCGGACCTCGCCCGACGCCGGTGGTGGTCGCCTCGCTCGGGCGAGCGAGGGCGGCCCTCGCCCGACTCAGCGAGGTCGACCCTCGCCGACGCCGGCGAGGGTCGACCTCGCTCGAGTCGCGAGGCCGCCTCGCTCGCCCAAGCGAGGGCGAACCTCGCCGACGCCGGCGAGGGCCACCCTCGCCAGATCTGGCGAGGGCCGCCCTCGCTCGACGCCGGCGAGGGCCCCCCTCGCCGGATCAGGCGATGGGCAGCCCTCGCCGGATCCGGCGAGGCCCCCTCTGGCCGGAAAGGAAAACAAAAGAAAAAAAAAAAAAGAAAAAGCAAAAAAGACGAAAATGCCCATGGACTAAATACATTGGAGTAAATGTGTCACAAAAAGCAAAGTTCGGGATTTTTGGTGTCACAAAAAAAAGTTCGGGGTAAATGTGTCACAGATGGCAAAGTTTGGGATTTTTGGTGGTTTTTTTCCATAAATTTGTCACATGTGTAACAATTTAGACTTTTTCGTGGTATTAACCCTTAATAAATTCCCAATGTAATCATTTCGGATAATTTTAGCTAGAAATCACTGATGTGGCTATCAAGTCATCGTCGGTCATCTTATGTGGCATGACCAGCACTGATGTGGATAAAAAATTTTATTTATTTTTTTCTTTTTTCTTTCTTTTCTTTTTTTCTCTTTCTTCTTCATAGGGCAAACGATGGTCAATGGCCATGAAGCCCTCTTCAGATCCGGCTAGGGCTGCCAAGCCCTCGCGGGCGACAACAAGGGCGTCACGGCCCTCATCCGCCCTCATTGTGATGCACGAGAGCCTGGGTGAAGGCCGCAACACCCTCGCCTCCTCAAATCTGGCGAGGGTGTCATGACCCTTGCCCATCCTCGTTGTGGCCGGTAAGGGCTTGGGCTAGGGTTGCAGCCCCCTCGCCAAATATGGGGAGGGTCGCGGCCCTCGTCCACAGCTGGTGAGGGCTTCACACCTTTAGCCTACCCTCACCCAGTGGTCAATAGCCCCACTGGCCTTATGAAGAAAAAAGAAAATAAAGCAAATAAATTAAAAAATAAAAAGTTTGAAAATAATTTAAACATTTATCTACGTCAGCATCGGCCATGCCACGTAGAATGGCCAATACTGACTGGGCCACCACTTTAAGGGTTTTCAGTCAAAATTAGCCGGAATGACTACATTGGTAATTCATTAAAATGTTTAGTACTAAATTAGCAAATCGTCAAAAAGTTTATGATTGAATTGGCACAATTAGAAAGTCTAGAACTGAATTGGCAAATTGTCAAAAGGTTATGACTGAAGTGGCTAAATTGAAAGGTTTAGCATAAAATTGGCACAAGTGCAATATGACTTTTTTGGTAATTTTCCCGGTCCCTGTCACCTCGGACCACTCCAACGGTTTCAACGAAAGCAGCTACTCCTGCTCACCGCAGCACCTTGACATTGCCGAGGTCTTGTCGTTCCTTGCCACGGCTCGAGCCACACCAGTCACCGTGCCCAGCTGCTGCTCCTGCACCTTCCCATCCTCGCTCTGTCGCCAATCCAGCCGAGCCCCGACATTGACGGCAGCCCGGGTGATTGTCCAGCACCTCCAGTTTCAACACTGAGCTTCTTGTCATGCCTAGATCGCTCCATATCAGTCCACTACAGCTTCCCCCAACACCCTCGGTGTCCTTGTGAAAACTCCAGTGAAGCCGACGCCTTTTCCGACCCATTTAGCAACTCCTATCACCGACTCCAGCAAGTTTCCCTATTGCGCTTGTCTTTGCTCTTCGCTGCAGTCCAGCCGTGCTTAACCCATTGCGAAGCTCGTGAACCTTCCTCACTGGTCGCTGTTCATCGTCACCAGTCGCCGTTCATCGTCGCCGGTCATAATTGGATCAAAGTTCAATTTAGGTAATTTCCTAAATTAAACCCACTTTGAATGTTTTACTTACCTAATTTCGATTATTGTGATTCTAATTTGATTTGGTGTGAAATTTTAGGTGTTCCCGGAATATGAAGTTTCCTAATTTGATATATTGCATATATATGCTTAGTAATCAAGGACTCGATCTTTGATACTAAAGACTGGGTCTTTGATTAAATTCGCTTCCTATTTTGGTTATAACGAATATTTGATTATTTGGGGTTTATATATCGCATGTTATTTAGTTTAGGAAACATTCTCATTATGAAAATACAAAAAAGGTTGCATTGCATAGATTGCATCAATCTAAGTTTCCTAATTTAGAATTGCATATTTTAGGAACCATGTGGTAATTTAATAAATTACCTAATTTAAATTAGGATTTTTTTTTTGGGTTTAGAAACCATGTTTAGGTCACGCATACATTACAACATTGTGTGGTTCATAGTTAACATCATTGCAAAGTACTTGATGTGTTGGACATAATGGAGCTTTTCGTTTGCTTAGCGCATATAGGTTTTCTACCATTTTTGGTGATTTATTCATTGCTTTGATTTATTGAGTGTTAAAATTCTTAACTATGCACTCGCATGATCACCTAGTACATGTTAGTGGTTTAGTATTAAAATCAACCAAGACTACTTGCAAAGCATTTTTGAAATAAAGAGAAAAGGTACCGAAAAGGCATTAGATTTATCTAGCGTAACCAAGTCTCCATATCCATGAATCTTTGGTTCGTAGAATTAAAATATGCCCCCACATTTTACTTGAGTTTCTAATCGACCTGTAATAGATTAGATTAGTGGCAACTCATAATTGAATTAAAGTGCATTTTTAATTGATTAAATTAAAGCCCCAAAGTTGTGACTAGTATGAGCTTGGGAGAGTCTGTCTTAAGTGTTTACTTAGTTATTTTATGAGATTTCGCTTGGTGGTTCACCTCTAGGAAAGTCGTGATAATGCCGAGTTAAGTCGGGTTAGACAGGGTTGGCTCGACCCAACTCCGTAAATTTTGAGTCTGAGATGGGTTCACATTGTTTTTTTAGCCGATTAAAGAAAGGTCCATCCATACCCTATTTCTTAGGACGGGTTTAAGCCGGATATCAGGAAAAGTGTGAGAAAAGTCCTAAATTGACACTACATTAAAAGGGTTATGACTAAATCGGCACAAAAAAATGTTTGTAACTAAATTGGCATTAACATAATAGGTTTAGGGCTTTTTTGACACTTTTCCCATTGGCATATAGCCTCAAAAAATTATGGAAGAGGTTTTGATTTCCTTCTTTTGGTATTCCAACTTGGATAAAAAAAAAATAAAGAGTTTCTACTACCCTTCCCTCGCCGATGGATGCTGGCAGGTGGCTGAACTGGCTGAACCACGAGAATCATCATGGCCTCTCTGATTTTATTGGCTTCCCGCATATAAGTAACAAGCTTCAAACGTGAAACACAAAAAAGAGAAGAGAATATCATCTTATATTATCTTTATTCCGTTTGCGCTTTTATCTCTTTCACGAAACAATGCTTGTAAAGCTGGCCAAGCATAATTTTTATCGTCTCTATAAGAAACCCTCAATCCGCAAGGTTGGTGATCAAGAATACAAGACGAAGAAATCATGGGCGGTGAAGATGTTGAGCCGGAGTTAGTCCCTTTTTCTCTCTCTCTCTTATAGTGAACAGAACTAATCACAGTACAAAAAAATCGTATTAGTTTCGCCTTTTATCTTCCCAGATTAGATTGGATCGATACAGGAGAAAGAAGGTTTACCCGGTATTCTACACTTTGATCTGTGAATAACGCTAGTTTTTTGTTGTTTCTGTTTCTGGTTGGCTTGTTAATTGCATTACTAGCTATGGAAAGCTGGAGAAGGCAGTGAATCTCTATCAGAAAGCACTGGACGACCTGGTGAGCATGAACTCGCTCTTCACCGTGGCGGTCTTCGTGGGCCTGACGTTCGCGAGCTCCGAGGTACCGATCGTGGAGGGCGGGCAGCATTGCGAACTCGTCGTGAAGAGGAGGCTGGTCAAGAACGAAGTGATATCGTTCGCCTGCTATCTCTTGTCCAGCCTCGTGGCCAAAGCCCTCAAGACCCACCTCTTCACCTACCTCCTCAGAAAGCACACGGTCAAAGAGATCAACGATAAATCGAGCAAGGGGCTGAGAGTGTCCTTGTTCGCTCTCTCCGCGTTGACCACCATCATCGGCGGCGTGTTGCTCTTGTTATCCATGATTGACATAATTAAGCTCCGGCTCGGAGATATGACTTGCGATGGTACCGAGACAATGAACCCCATAGGTACCCTGATCGCGATCAATGCCCTCGCGTTATTCATCTACGTACCCTTGGTCGCACGCACCATCTTTAAGTCCACGAAAATCTTCGACGACCTACTCCAAAATTAAGATAGCTCTCTTCCTAAGCGCCGCCATGTACAACTTAGGTTTGTTGCTGTGTCTTTACTTATATAACTAGCTACGTAGACTTGAGAGATGAGTGTCGAATAAAGGGGCCTTTCTTTGCTTTCCGGGATGTGAATCAATATATTCATCATTTGTGTTTATCTGTCAGCTTCCCTCCTCTTACCAGTTCTGTATCAGTAAGAGGCAGATAGTGTCATCACTATGCAGATTGTTATCTACCTATCAATCGTTGCCCGACATGATTCACAATCCTGGCATTAACACCCGACATCACTGCCGGAAAGAAATCCCAAGTCAACCACCATCAAATGATGACTTATTAGAAGGTAGCTTCTGTGAATATTGAAGATGCAGAGATAAACAGCATTTCTCCCACACTACAAATTGAATAGCGCTTGCAATGGATATGAATCGAGAGTCGTTATTGAGGCCAAACTCCTGGGGACACTACGACAGAAAAAAGACTAATCATGCCTCCCTTGAGATCTTTACCAACTACAAGACAATTTCTGTGTTGCACTCATTCTTCCCAGCTGAGTTGCTGCCGCTAGCAATTTCATCCTTTCTTATGACCTCTGTTTTTGTGCCGGAAGATCGTTCCCGACTGACCGAGCAAGCCTCCTCATCAAATCTCTTGCTCCTCTCGACATTCTCATTCGCAACATCGGCCCGTTTTTTATCATTTTCTTTGTCTCCTCTGCACAAAAGCCAGACACGCATATGCTAAAATCAGTTTTACAGCACTTCTATACAAGCATACAAAAACACATTGTCTAGAAGTCAAACGGACCATTCTTTACTACACTTGAAGCTATCTTCTTTTATCTAAATTACAGTAGATCTAAACGAAGTTGATGTATTGTTTACAGCAGATAGCACAGAACCAAAAAGTCCCAGAAAAATGCCATATTGCCCAACATCTTGAGGAAAAGGTTTAAATGATTCAGAAACCTGCCAAAAGTATTCAGGGAAAATAGAGAGAAGAATTGGACATTAATTGAGATTATAGAACAATTTCTACCACTCTAATTAATTTTTAATGGAGCCAAAATAATTATATTTTTCTTTTGTGCGCTGAGATTATCAAGAGCAATTCCTAAGGTTCAACTGCTCGAGGATGCTACTGAAGGCAGACTGACTAAAGCGGGTCTTTAAACGAGCAAATGTGAGTGAAACCAATTAATAGCTATGAAAATCCAGTAGTTGCTCACCCTGAATAAATAACCAGACCGACTGCAACAGCAGCAAAGGCCACAAAGTACATCCAGTCAACCTATAAACAGATTAAAATCAAACAAAAGTCAACACAAAGAGGCATAGATGAGGTCTAAATCCCAATCACGCCAAACATCCTTCAAATAAACCTTCTCGTGGTAAGCAAAGATGCGGATCAAGACAGCCCACATGTCTGAGGTCAATAGAGACAGGTTGAGCATTGTAGACCCATTTATCTGCAAAATAATAATAAACCTATGGATCTCATGTTGCACCCAAGTGAATGACTGCACAACCAGAAAATGTAGTTTCTTGAATTCAAACCTTCAGCAAAATCGGGACAAATGAGTAGAACAGGAACATGGCCAGTGAAAATCCCACAAAAGGTAGTGCCTGCACCAATCAAAATATTGCTGTAAGTAAAGATTCCTTAAGAGAAAGGGAGTACAGGGTCTAGTCAGCAAACAGCATACATAAGCGTATTAGTGAACTTTTAAGCATGTTCATCTTAGTTAAATCCCCCCAACTAAATAACTGTGATACTTAATAGTCGGCTTAATACAGAGACAACTCCAGAAAACTGATGAAGTGAATATAAATTTCCACATTTTAGACTTGCGAGTTGACTTAAGTTGTTGATTATCTGATGAAAGATTAGCACAAACAAAGCTGAAATGAGAAACTCCCCTGAGAATTTTTCCATAAGCATATTTTCCAATTTCCCAGCTCTTACTCTTGGTGTTTGATTGGGATATATGAAAACAATTGCAGTTTGCATACATGAAAACCACACATCTGAACAACATATAACAGGCTGACCAAAAAAAAACAACATATAACAGACATTTGACAATTAAATGCTTGATTCTTAATGAAGGGCAACTGAAATATCGTCTCAAGTCTTTTTTGTCTCGAAAGTTCTGCAAACGTTGCAAAAATAATTATTTAAGTCGTTATCGAAAAGCCCACCGATTCACATTCATGTGATTCATCATTTCCTGCTTCTTGCATCGAGCTACTCAAAAGATCTCTGAGTCATTGAAGTGTATTAAAGGATGAAATAGTTTGAAGCTAGTTACATTTCAGCCAGGCAGCTTCTAAACTTGTTTACAAGTCAATTTAAAGGCCTGAAGAGAGTGCATGTGCAGATGGCAACTCTGTACAGGTGTTTGCACTTGTGCACGTCAATACACATTGATATTCATTAGAAACGTACTGGACATATGTGTACGATACATATGTTTAGATATATACATGGAGAGAGAGAGAGAGAGAGAGAGAGAGCCTTACTGCTCCAGCTGTCCAATGAATAGATTTGAGCTCATTGCGCTCAAGAATGCTTCTATATGAACATTAAGGAAAATTTGGAGAACAGGTCAGATCCAAAAACATTGTCTATCACACATGGAGATGAAACCACTTTGAATGTTTGCAAAAAGCAAAGGTAATATTAGTGCAAGTCCTATCAAGAATAAATACGTATGGAACAGGCTAGATTCAATCAAATGCATGACATTTGCCCGTGAAACAACAAATGAAACTAGACCGGTGAAAATGATGGCTCTCATGACTCCATAATATTGGTATCTTATCCGTATATTAGTTAATCAACACCTAAAGGAAGGATACATTTGTATAGCGCTAATAATGGCACCAAAAAGTCCAAGCATTGACATTAGTTCCACTCTGTTAGCATTCTTCACAAGATATTCCTGTCCACACAGAGAAAATCAACTCATTGATACTAAAATAAAATATCAACCATCCACAGACCACAGTAAGAGAAAAGGAGGCAAAAAAATCTCTTGCAACAAACACCTCAAACTCCCAGTACAGCCAACTTAATAAGTTGGGGGAAAACTATGACAGACGGAACTTCTCTACACCGACCTGAACTTTCTTCTGACTAACAATACCATTTTATATGGTCTGATTCAACATTTATCAATGTCCCTTGGGTATTTCAATATGATGAAATAAATGATGCATGTGATTTCTAGTCCTAGACTCAATGAAAACTTGAAAATACCTGCTCCACATAGAGAAAAGACGAGTGCTATTGACATAAGTCCTACCTAGAAATTTCCTTCACCTCTAAGGTTGTGCTTCCTCTACAGAAGGCAAAATAAGGTTTTACAATTCTGTTTCTTTCTAGGTTTACATCTAGATTATTAAAAATAAATATGCAACAAACAGGCTCTGCAGCACGTCAGACATGATAACCCAAGCTTGCTTCATGCATAAGACCATTCAAAAAGTAGACAGGAAAAATTTTCAAGAGCAGAAACCAGAAGTACATATGACTTTGCATACCTCGCTGACATTACTGACAGCATAGAGTGTTGCCCCAGCAATAACCAGTGCATCCCCTTTCCGAGGGCTACTTCCAGCTATGAAAGATAACAGATGTGTATAACATGATAGATTAACTCAATCAGAGGACATAAATTTGAATTATGACCCTTAAATTGAAGAATTTTTAGTATACAATAAAGAGAACAGTGCAAAATCATTTACTTTTGCTATCATATCCATGAACTCTTTATATTAGCAACTATTACAAATTACATACTTTACGTATTTAGAATCAAGACTCGCACAAAAAATACATTGAAAGAACCTTGCACTAATATTCTGTCTGAATAAAGATCTGCTTTAGCAGCATATTCTTTCCCCTTTAAACAATCTTTCTTGGACGAAGCTACCATACTTTCATTGCTAAGAAACTCCAATCATGAAATCTATTATGTGAATAAAGAAACTAAGATCACGTGCCATAGAAATATATTAACATAAGAAGCATCACAAAAATGGCCGCTCAACAAAGACCATAAATTTGACAAATCGATTTTGTAGTAGCATGAGAATTTCCAAGAACAGGGATCAACGCAAGACACATACAGGAGAAAGATAATGATAGTGGTGGGACACGGAGTAGAGTCTTAACAGGTAGTGTACTTGATTACATTGAAGTAGACCTCTGTTAAGTACCTGATCTATCACCCGCATGAACATCTGAAAAGACAACCATAACAAGGCCAGCAACACAAACAAGAACACCAGCTATTTTCTTGAATCTGTACTTTGTGCTCAAGAAAAGCCAAGTAAGAAGCATGACCGATGGGATTGACCAACAATCCAGGAGCATGACACTTGTTATGGATGTGTACTGATAGGCCTTCACCACTGTAAGTATAGTGAGCATTAGAGAAATAAATGAGGTACAATATAAAGATCAAATGTCAGCAGCAGAGACATATGTAGACTTGGTAACAGAGCTTGTTCAAGGCCCATTTAATAATAGGTTTCACATGTGACTGGCTGTTTATCTATTTCAATAAAGGAACCTTGTAATTTATTTTTTTGTTAATATATGATTTATTTAAAAAAAGTAAGCGGTAATCAATAAAGCAGAGTCATAGAGGCGTGATCTCTAAAACGTGTAGCTATTAACAGATTATCAGAATAAAATGCTAAGAGAAGTACCTGACTTGTTTACATAACTGCTCAGATCTTATTTATTCTCAGGGCAGTATAAAAGAAACAATTGATGGTATTGTGAATATAGGTGCTCATGCTAGTAAAAACAGCAGCTTACTTGAATGGCACATCCACAGTTTCAGGATTTTGATTGGTCATTCAATTTAAATGAGGAGCTCAGGTCAACTAAAGAAAGATATGGACATCAGTTAAATTTGTCCAATATTGTAAGAAAGTAATAACCAACAAGCCATTCTAGCGTTTCATTACGAACAAGGAAGCAACAATATAGAGGGCAAAAGGATGTGATTCGATCCAAAGAAGCAGCAACCATACTGATGGTATAGGACTTGTTTCGGTTGTTGGAAAAGTCTCATTCACTAGAAAGCTTGAAGAAGGCCACTCATCGACAATGGATTTTAATGGATAGAGAATCAGATGCTATAAGTATAAAACACCTCGGCTGTCTGTTGACCATGGATTTTAACGGACAAAAATTTTATACAACCAGTCAACAATACAAACAGAAGATATAGGAGCAAGAAATTTAGATCATATGCTATTATCATGGGACTATCTACAAACTGAAAGACACTCACCAAGAAAATTTGCCTCCACATCCACCACCGCAAGAATAACATAGTAGTACCACCTCGCCTGCACCAGTTTTAAGAATTAAGTTGAACTTGTATGAATGGAGTGATTGAAAAAGATAAATAGGAAGAAAGCAAAATCAGCCGAAACAGAAGTGCACTAAATCAATCAAAATATCTGGAACTTGTCTCTTCTTAATTCAAGCTTCGACCAGTAAACAATTGATTACTAGTGCTACGGTAAAAGATTATCTAAATAGATACTCCATTATCCTACAGTGAAGGTTTGGAGAACATCTCCAATATCTTGTTCAAGAGATCTGCCTCTTTGGAACATCCCCCAATTCTTCAACAGTCTTCACATTTCTCCTCTCATGAAAACCCAATATAGAATTGTTGCATGTTCATATGAAGTTCTAGACGTATGATGTTTGCTATATAACCAAGATAAACATATGATGCAAAACACCAGATAAGCATAGGCCTTTTCTCAACTGTGAGCTTTCGAGGGACCAATGCCAATTGTTCTAATAGCTTAATCTATAAAAAGAACACGTAATTTAATGTTTAAATATTCTAACACTGCCCACCACACCCCCAGGGATAGGTTGGCCTTTGACCTAAGACTAAAGTATGGGAATATATGATTGAGAAGGTAAGTGAGATCTAGACTAATTTTAACTCAGGACCTCCTGCTTTGATACTGTAAAAATTTTTATAGAACCATTGCCAACTATTCTAAAAACTTAAATTGTTAATAGAAGTGATGTTTAATATCTAGATATTCAAACATCAACATCTTCGACATCATGAAAGATTTGTTTGAGTCTGCCTTGATCGCGTTATAAAGAGGTCTTTCTTTTTTTTAAGGCTTGTTTTCCGCTAAAATCAGCATTAAACTTATCTAGCTGCAATTTTTAGGTTCTCTTGACAATGTTAAAATATGAAATAGAGGAAAAATAGCAATAAGCATCCCTATGAACAAGAATATTAGACCATACATGACATTATATTGCTCCTCCTATAAACCTCTTGATCTATTCTTACTATTTTATGACAAAAAATCACTAGTCACCTAACATTCTGGTGAAAAGTCTTCAAAAGGTTAATTAGTCAATTCTTCAGGTTGTAAGAGACAATCCAATTAGCGCATCTTTCACTTGTATGGTGAGCATACAGAGATAAAACGTCAATTAGCAACTTACTTCTTTGCTTCCAATTAGATGGCAAAGGAGGAGGGCAGTATATACAACTAATTGCTCAGCAAGGAATTGATGAAAACTAAAGAAGCAACTTCAACTTTATTCGGAGAAATTCAAAACCAAGAGTCCTTGGATCCTACATAAAGGAGGCATTTTCGGACTTTTGCATCACTTGTTTGTATCGGGTGTAAAAAAAAAATTCCTTGCTGATGGACATTCTAACAGACCTAAAGTCATCAAGGGCTCTAATATTTTTCCTGTCATCAGAAGAGCAAACGTCCAGAAATAGTTCCCCAGCCTAATTTTAGTTATAAGTAAAGAAATCATTTCATACATATATGGACAAGCACTTATCCAAATCGTGTTCCATGGATGATCAATAACCAATCAGCAGAAAGTAACGACTAGCTAGAACAAAATGACACGTCAAGAAAAATAACCTTCAGAGGTTGCCTGCGATGAAGCATCATACTTCCATAGACAATTGCCAGCAACACGTAGTTTAGAAAAGACTGTGAAGTCGGCGCATTGATTCCTGATGCTCGCAAGAACAGAGAAGAAAAGCGATGAGAGTCAGAAAGAGAGTGAGGGCAGCAGAACAATAATTTCCACCTTAGCAGAGATGATACACTAAAACATCCCGAAAATTCGTATACCCGTGTCCATTCAATCATTAACATACTAAGCGAATACAAACATTATCGTAATTTCAAACTATCCACTAATAAATAAATTGGAGATAGTCGATAGATGGTATATATTCGACACCACTACATCCTGAATGAAGGAAGGAAGAGGAGAAAAAATTGGTGAAATAAAAAAGAACTTCCACCGTTAACTAGACTAGAAAGAAGAAGGCAATGGGAGAGTATACCGGAATCAACGAGTTAATATCAGAATCAAGAGTACTCATAGTTGGCACTCCAACAAAATCAGGAAAAATAGGACAAGACGTGGGAACAAATCGAAATTCAAAATAAAGGGTGAGGAGAAAAGGGAAAAAAGGAGGGACCTTTCTTAGCGAGCTCGGAGGAAGAAAAGCCAGTGGAAGTGATGAGAAGAGAGAGAAACTGGCCGAGAACCAGCCCCACCAATGTCTTCTTCGTCCAGAACTCCTTCAACCTGAATCCCATCCTCCCGGTCCTCTCTCCGTCTCTCTCTCTCTCCATATATATATATATATATATATATATATATATATATATATCAACTGATGGGTGATGATGAACTAACTCAACCCAATGGGGTGATTCCAAAGGAGGAGCAACTAAAAACAAGGAATTGCAGGAATCACATGCTCCGGCTAGACCAGACCAGACCAGGCGAGGTCAATAGTCAGTGGAATGCGATCGAAAACAGGGGAATGATGGCTGAAAATCGAATACCCACTTGGAGTTTCGACGGGGCAAGCGATGCCCACACGCGGCGAAGTCGGATTGGGAATCCGAGATTGGAAACGACAGGCAGAGGGAGGCAGAGGACGAAAAAAGGAGCGATTTTTACGTCAATTTGAAACTCAGCTAGAGCGGCTGGCTATGCGGGGTTCCCCATATTCTCCTCAACTCCACCCCCCACCGAGACGGAGAGAGAGAGAGAGAGAGATGGGTGCGTGTCAGTGCGTCTGCAGCCGTTGAATATCGGAGAGCTTGACGCAGAAGACAACCTTTCCGCCCTTCTGCGACTCCCCCAACTTATAATAAGTTGCGGCTTCGCTTGCAGATTCTTTATTCACTGTTTTTCCTTTTCTGGGTTTCCACGGGACGCGATGATGGTGATGATTTGAATGGGTTGATGGGAATGACGACGTTTTCTGCGATAGGGACACATTCCACTTTGGGAATAATGTCGTCTTCGGGAAAGTCTCCTCCTTTAATGCCCAGTCTGATAGAAATTTGCTGTCTGCTTCTTGCTCTGCTCCACCATCAATGGTCCTAGGTTTTTCTTCCGTGTATTTTATTCTTCATGTCCATGTTCATGTTCAGGCTTTAAAAAGGCTTGGAACCCCCCCTAAAAAAACTCACCCCTTTGGACATTCTCTCTAAAGTTAGCCTCTTGCTTTCATAATCCTTGACTTCAGCCTCCTAAAGCTTTGTAAATATTTAAATATAGAAAGATTCGTCTGCCTTTTGTCGCGTTATATATAATCGGCGTCTTAAAAAATGAATATATTTCTTTATTAAGTACAGTCGAAAGATAAGTTGCTGGATGTCTTCCCATTCAATTTCTTGATGATGGATGCCTTTTGTCGTGTAAATTATTTTTTTTTTAAGGAAGATAATCAGATATCAAAGTCAGATCCTGAATAATTAGGCCTAATCCCCTAAAAAAACCCCAAACTTTAGGTTAAGTTCCAATCTGCCTCGAACTTTTTTGGTCTCAGAAAAAACCCCAAACATTAAGTTCAATCCCAAATATGCCCCGAACTTGTTTTTATCTCAGAAAAAGCCCTAAACTTTAAGTTCAATCTCAAAAATGCCCCGAATTTTGTTTTGTGTAAAAAAAAAAATCAAAATTCAATTTTTTTTCAAAAATATACTCCTGTGATCCAATCCCAGCTTGACATGGCACTTCCACATTGATAACAAATCCATATCAATAAAGTAATTTGGCTTTTTTTTTGACAAAAAAAATTCATAACAAATTTCGACTGTACCTAAAATTAAGTTTTTTTTTTAAATTAAAAAAAGTTTTTTTTGGTGGATTTGTTATTGTCTCTAACTTTCATATCCTAAACTGGTTTTATTTTGGAGAATTTCAACAATTTTTGTTGGGTTGGATTTGTTATCGAAGTGAAAATACAACGTCGGTCTGTACCTATCGCCCCATTACTTTACTGATATGGATTTGTTATCGACGTGGAAGTGCCACGTCAAGTTGGAACTAGATCACTGGGTATAGTTTTTAAAATAAATTGAAATTTACTGATTATTTTTTACACAAAACAAAATTCGAGGCAGATTTGGGACTGAACTTAAAGTTTGGAGTTTTTTCTAAGATAAAAAAAAGTTTGGGGTAGATTTGGGACTGGACCGAAAGTCTGGGGTTTTTTCTGAAATAAAAAAAAATTTAAGGTAGATTTGGGACTTGATTTAAAGTTGAGGATTTTTTAAGAAATTCACCCGAATAATTGATACAGTGACGTGCCAATTGATACAAATGGGAAGGCAAGGGATGACGATGATTGTTCTGGTTCTCGGTATTATTGATTTTTCATTTGGCTATAAATATTAGAATAATTAAATATTAAATCATATTTTTATCTAATAGTTTAAGCTTTTAGAACGATTGATAGTGATCCTATAAAATCTCACACAAAACTGCAGAAATCTAATGGGGTCACCCGTTCAATCATCAGTAGGAAGGCCTTTACTGTCCTTCCCTTCCAATCTGCTTCCTGCTGATGCTGCTGCCTCTTTATGATGCATGAACTGCTTTGTGTCCGTATAGATCTACTCACTTAATAGATTTATCGTACTTCCTTCGTCGGAACACATACAACTCCATCTCAAATGAAAAGTTTTCAACTCGAAAGGCAAGGGCAGCGCCTTTTTCCAAAATCATTGGAATCCGAGCGTCTAGCACAAGCTAACCATGAGTTGATACATTATAGGGTGTGACAATCTCCTCGTCTTTTACATATCAAGTACACACAAAAGTTCCGACCCCCCTTGCCAAAAAAAAAAATTAGTACACACCAAGTTCGTTCTCGCAAAGGTGACCTTAACAATGCATGTGTTGATTAAAACTCAAAATTTATGCGAGATAAACACGTATACCCGTTCCTCTTATTGAAACTGTAAAGTCAAATCCTATCAAGTATATGCGATCCTCGGTTTAAGACTCATTCTCCTTGATTTCTTTGAAGGTGGATGGAAAAAAAGTTATTAGTGATGAAGTTTATTAGTTAAACCAAGAGAAATTACTAACAGCAAACAGGCAAGCACTTATTTTTGTATAACAAAATGATATCAATCATCGCGAAAAAATTACTTGTAACTCTTCTTTAGCAATTCCTAAAATCAGCACATCTTAAAATTGGTATGTTTGGCTTGGTTGTACAGGCTTCTACTACCAAGTCCCCTTAGACTCGATCTTCTCTCTTCTTTATTCTAAAGCTCCGATTATTTCATAGAAAATTAATGATTTGAAAAATATTTTCCTAAAAAGTGATTGCTTGTATCACTTACAAAAATAAATAAATAAATAAATATTTTCAACGTCCACGAAGATATTCAAACATAAATTGTTGTCGATGATGAAACCATTTTTCATTGACTAAGTATTTCAAGTCATACGAGCGATCATTTTCAGAAAAATATTTTCTAAATCATTTATTTTCTATAAAACAAACGGACCTAATTATAAAAAAAAAGTGAAAAGCCCATTAAGCTCTAGAGAAAAACGTGGATGCTCATAATTTCATGGTATAGCTTAGGGGTGTGCAAAAAACCCAGGACTGCCCAAGACTGCCCGGGACCGGACCGGAACCGGTGGTTCCCAAGGGGACCGGTCCAGTTCTCGGTTCCAATTTTTTGGAACCGGTGGGTATCAGTCCGGTTCCCGGTGTGGAACCGCCTACCCGCCCACTCGGACCGGACCGGTAATATAATAATAATATATTTATTTTTTAAAATTTTAATTAAAAAAATCTGACCCAAAAAAAAAAAACGTAATTAGATACTCATAACTTTCTGCTCTCTTATCTATGGACACTCATTTGATGGGTACCCACTTGATTTGTAGATGATGTGGTTAATAGAACCGATCATAGTATAGGAATTGTATAGAAAGTTATGTTCTTTTCTTTTTGTTCCGTTGATCCGATGTTGGTCCACATATTTTTTTTTATTTGTCCAGGAAAATTTGGTGGAACCGGTTCCGTGGACCCGCCCGGAAACCGGACCGGACCGGCGGTCCGGTTCCTGGGCGGGTCCATGGAACCGACGGGCGGTCCTTGGTCCCAAAATTGAGGACCAACACTGTGCGGGTTGGTCCTAGGGTTAGGGGGTGGACCGGCCCAACCCGGACCATGCTCACCCCTAGTACTATAGCTGAACAAAGTCTCGTATCGAGTACGTACGGATGAATCAAGTTGCCTATGACTTAGCCTCATAGTTTCTAAGGTTGACCCCTTTTGTTTGGGGCCATGTACTCTTTTAAGTGTTCGGCTCATTAGATGTTGCTAATGTTAGCTGTTGCTAATGTGGGCTTTCGCCATTTAACCCGCTTACACCTATATTCACTACTTATCCATTAATAATAGCTTTCCAAAAAATGAAAAACTTAAATAAAATATACCCATATTCATTAATTTTCCCAAGTGATTTGTTATCTTTTCATGGAAAAATCTAACTCATAAATTAAATTTCCTTGTGATTGGTGACTTCATATCAAAGTTGTTACTGAGGTCGGGGGCCTAAAACATGCCTGGGCCTGCAAAACTCGGTCATGACAGCAAATAAGTAGCCCAAGTGTACACAGGCTTGAATGGTCCATGACCTGTCTATTCATCAAATGACCAACTGCGAGCAAACGGTTCAACCGTGGACGATGCTCCATCAAGTTGAGACCTTGAAGAGCGAGCAAGAATTGATTAGCGAGCGAATATCCGTGAATCACTTGTCAAAGTAAAATAACAGAGGAAGATTTGCAATTTCAAGAATTTTAAGTTTCCCCATGACTTGTATAACCATATTCCTAAAAGCCCTTCTGAAATTTTGCCGTGGAGGACCTTGTACCGCAAGAGTTCGCATGGCGATCTGTGCCATTAATTGGATTTGGATTTGGATTTGTATTGACCGGGTTGGTGTCCAGGAGCAAAAGTGAACGATGCAAAAAGGTGAAAAAGTGAACACCAATCCCAATCACTTTTTGCCCAAAACAGCGCCGGCTCCGGAGCAGCAGCAGCAACACCAGCAGCAACGTTGCCCATGGCAGCTCCTCCTCCTCCTCCTCCTCCTCTCGCTCCAAGCCACCAATCTCTCACCTTACTCCCTTTAACTCTCTCTCCAGCACCATTGATGAAGTTGCTCGCCATCTCTCTCCTCTGCTCTCTCTCGTTCATTCTTGGCTCTTACACCAAATACTCCGCCACCATATCTCCTCCACTTCAAGCTCCCCACTTGTCACCCTCTCGCTGTCTTCCTCTTCCACTCAACTTCACCACCACCACCACCCACCGCTCCACTCCCTCTCCCAAGCCCCTTGACTTTGAGCCTCACCACACCATCCCTCTCCCTCCCCCTCAAGAAAAGACCTCCCATTTCTTGGCCTCCTGCCCCAAGAACTACACCAACTACTGCCCCTGCCAGGACCCATCCAGGCAAAAGAAATTCGCCATTGAAAGGTTCTTCCACAGGGAGAGGCATTGCCCTGAGACCCATGAGCGACTCCGGTGTCTGGTCCCGAGGCCGGCGGGCTACAAGAGCCCCTTCCCGTGGCCCAAGAGCAGAGACTATGCCTGGTTCAAGAACGTGCCATTCCCTAGGCTCATCCTCTACAAGAAGACTCAGAACTGGATCAAGTTGGAGGGTGACCGCTTCTTCTTCCCTGGTGGAGGGACTTCGTTCCCGATGGGTGCCAAAGGTTATGTCGATTTGATTAAGCGGGTCGTGCCTTTGAAGTCCGGGGCTATAAGGACTGTTCTTGATGTCGGTTGTGGGGTAGGTGTGCAAAATTTTCATTCTCCCTTGTCGGAGCTTCTCTCTGTTGCGCTTCTGTTTTCCATTGATTAGATTATGCTTGAGCTTTCCTCTTTTTAGCAGGTTGATTAATATCAATTGATGCTTCATTTGTTCCTCTTTTTTTTTATAGGGGAGACGCTGTCTCTACAATCCATCTACAATCCATCTAGAATCCATTTTTAGTATTTGCCCTGTTCTGACTGGATTTGTCTTCCTCTTACGTTCATTTAAATGCTCTCTATGATAGGAATCAATGATAAAACTTATAAGCATGTATCAACTTGAACTGAGAAGGGACGTAGTTATATTCATTTGCGTCGATACCCAATCCTTTTTGCTCTTAGTATTGATGTTTCACAAATACAGAAAAGCCAATCTCATGTTTTCTTGTAACTAAAAATGAGTTACTGTTGGTTCTTTCCTTCGGTTTTTTCATACACCACCCATGCGGTCCTTTGATAAATTGTTTCGGAAAATCATGTTGCGATGAGGTATAACATGCTTGTCTACTGCGGAAATGGCTCTTAGTAAAATAGCACCTTTCTAAATTGGTAACTTGCCTACTCTCGTTTTATATTCATTTGCGTCGATAGCCAGTCCTTTTTGTTCTTGGTATAATGTTTCACGAATACAGAAAAGCTAATCTCATGTTTTCTTGTAACTAGAAATGAGTAACTTTTGGTTCTTTCCTTCGGTTTTTTCATTCACGACCCATGCGGTTGTTTAATAAATTGTTTCAGAAAATCATGTTGCGTTGAAGTATAACATGCTTGTCTACTGTGGAAATGGCTCTGAGTAAAATAGCACCTTTCTAAATTGGTAACTTGCCTACATACAACTAGTGGAATCAATTGCTTCTTAACTTTTTTGTACTAGTCTGCTCTTCAAATCCTGTTAAATGCTTTAATTTCCCAGGTTGCCAGCTTTGGAGCTTCTCTGTTGGATCTCAACATCATTACTATGTCAATTGCTCCGGTAGACATACACGAAGCCCAAGTACAATTTGCCTTGGAGAGAGGACTTCCTGCAATGCTCGGCATACTAAGCACCTACAGATTACCGTACCCATCAAGATCTTTTGATATGGCTCACTGTTCTCGCTGTCTTGCTCCGTGGACTAATTATGGTACTCATCCTCACGTCCTCTGCTTACATTGGAACTAAACTCATTTATTCCTAATCTGGACTTTGGAGTTGAAGCAATTGGATTTTTCGATTAATATAAGAAGACATTGTAGAACTGGCGTGAAATGTTGCCCTCCCTTCCTGTCTTTTAAATTTTTGCATCTTCTCTAGAAATGCTTTCTAATTTTAATTCTGTTGAATTCTTCTATGGAAATGACAATTTCATCGGGAGAACTTGACCGGATTCTTTTACTAGTATTGTCTACTATGAGTGATAAATCGTAGCACTCAGTGAATCTATAGCTCTGTGCTCCCTTAACTCTTATCTAAGGGACTTCTTCCTCAAATGGTTTCAACGGCGTGATATAACCAAATTTCCATGTAAGCGGTAGCAGGATGGAATAGTCTTCATTCCATTTGATACTGAGATTTTCTGTTTTATCTGGGGTTTCAAAATAATCCTCTCACATGCCATTTATTCATACAATTCTCCTCTCCTATTGTTCATTCTTTGTTGTTGCTTGAAATGTGACAATCTCTAGATGGACAATATCTGATGGAAATCGACAGGGTGCTGCGCCCTGGTGGTTATTGGGTGTTATCTGGACCACCTATAAGTTGGAGGACCAGCTACAAGGGTTGGCAAAGAGAGGCCAAGGAGTTGGAAAATGAGCAAATTGTTCTGGAAGATCTTGCCAAGAGGCTGTGCTGGAAGAAGATTGCTGAAAGGGGACCCATTGCCGTTTGGAGAAAGCCTACCAACCACGTGCATTGCGTGCAAAAGTTGAAGGCTTGGAAGTCGCCCAAGTTATGTGCTCAGGGTAATCCGGATGCTGGTTGGTGAGTTTCTTCAGCTTGTACCTTAGAGTTTACACTTCAAGCCTAAACTTAAAAAACCTCATTCTTTGCTCTTGATCAACCGTATAGAACAATGCCCATTGTCATTTGGCAATTTAATGTGAATATTCTGCTGCCCACAAGAGCCTTCAATGATAAACTAACTGATATCCCATCCGGCTGTACAAAAAAAAAGGGGGGGGGGGGGGGAAACGTAACAGACATCTCACAAGTTGCAGATGATCTATTCAGTCATGCAAAAGCAAATTACATTTTGAAGATACACGCAACGATTTCTAGGGTCGACTAGTGTTCTCATTGTAGGTTCTGTACTTATGTCTGATGGTACGAGTGCATGGACGAAAATTTCAAGTTCATTCGTTTATCAGCTGTATCTGACAATTTGCTGGTCCATGCTCATTCTATCTTCTTCAAAGGTACACGAAGCTAGAAACATGCATTACTCCTCTGCCAAAAGTCAAAGACATCCATGATACATCAGGTGGTACCCTTGAAAAATGGCCAAAAAGATTAAATACTGCTCCTCCAAGGAGTAGAAATGAGATGGAAGAACGAATTGCAACTAAGGCCTTCAATGAAGATAATCAGTTATGGAGAAAGAGAGTTTCTTATTATGAGATAATTCTCAAATCTCTTGCCCGAAGAAAATATAGAAATATCATTGATATGAATGCTAACCTTGGAGGATTTGCTGCTGCACTGACTAAGTATCCAGTTTGGGTGATGAATGTTGTCCCATACGATGCAAATAATACACTCGGCATTATCTATGAGCGTGGCCTTATTGGAACATACATGAACTGGTAAGAGCTGTTGAGACTTGCAAATTTCTCTCTCTCTCTCTCTCTCTCTCTCTCTCTCTCTCTCTCTCTCTCTCTCTGCGCACGTGCGTGTGTAGATATATGAGTGTAGATGTATTTTCCCTCTTTTCTCTAATAGACCTAGTAATTTCCATAATTTATTTGAGATCTCGCCTTTTCTGATCTTTGAGTAGAGACCACAGAACTTGACGTGATTTGATGTAAGATATGTTCTTGGGATACATTAGAGAATCATATCTGTTGATGATTATTTAGTGACTAAAGTGCCGTAGATAATATATGCTTTCAGGTGCGAGGCCTTCTCTACATATCCTCGGACTTATGATTTGATTCATGCCAATGGTCTGTTCAGCATGTACATAAACAAGTAAGCAGTACAGCTCTGTCTCTGCTCTTTATGTGGTACTTGGAGTTAGATGTTACTCATGAACCAAAAGTACGAAAAACTAGGAAACAAAGCAGGATGACTGTCACTTGTCACATTCCGGATCACTTTTGCACCGAATGTAGAATCCATGACATGCTAGTCTCTGGTTCAATATTACTGCCTGTTATTTAGATGCATACAAATTCATCATCCACTTTCATTCCCACAGAAGCCATACATTATGCACAGGGTACCAGTGGTTGCTTTTATTCTATCCAGTTTATGGATGATAAAATGGTCTGGTATGGAATAGGTTAGGGACATCATCTCTTTCTGGTGCAACGAAATGGATAGGACACGAGAAAGAAGATTTTATTGTAGTACTTTTAATTCTACTATGCTATATGCAGGTGCGACATTCTTGACATCCTCCTCGAGATTTATCGGATTCTTCGCCCTGAAGGTGCGTTGATCATAAGGGATCATGTCGACATAATTTTCAAAGTGAAAGATATAGTGGATCGAATGAGGTGGAATGGCAAGGTATTTCACAGCGAGAACGGGCCGTACCATCCTGTAAAGGTTCTTCTCGTCGACAATTCCGAACAGATAAGTTCGTGAGTCGTTTTTGTACAGCATATTCAAATTAAAGCATCTGTATCATCATAGGCCCGGACGTTACCTCATTTAGGTGCCATCTGTTTCAAGTTCTTGAGAGGAAGCTACTGGCAGAGTGTCTCGGGAGGTACTAATCCACAGAGAAATCAAATGCCGAGAAGTTATTGATCATTGATATCGGCTGGCAAATGCAAAGTAACGTCCTGACTGTATCAACGTACTTATGTATTCTCGGTTTTACCTGAATGAATAAATGTTATGTGAACGTGTCACGGGCCGATACTTTATATCGCAAATTGGGCTTTCTTAGACCTCGATTTACCTCCCTTGGTCTCTAAGTTCGTTTGTTGCATTTCTAGCGTAGGAACACGATCAGCCTCTCCACTATTCTGCTATCTTGACAAGGGTTTAGCAGTTATGCAAGAATTTTCTGCGATGAACCAAAAGCACGTTGTCAATCGTCGAAGCAACTTTAGGAAGCTCCTTGCGACAAAGCCAATCTCGCCCTGGACTTGTTTGATGCATAGAAAATGTAGCATAAAAAGCATCAGATCTTTCTGCAGACAACATTACGGCATGTACGGACCGAGCGTCGGTTCTTGGAGAAGCTAAAGGAACACAGTTACCGTTTCAGGGCAACGCCGTTTCTGTATCGAAGACACTCGTGAAAGTAGAATTGCAGCTGATGATGAAATGACATTACGTGCAGAAGAAGAGCCGAAAGAGCGCCATTTCTTAAGATTTCAGCGTTGCATAGGGAAGGCAATGATAGTTTGAGGGTCGGTTAGAATTGAAACAAAGTTTACTTTGTGAGGTCTTATTTGAGATAATCTTAAAATATGGGGTTACTTTTGCAAAACAAGAATAACGATATATCTATATCCATATCTGTTTCCCTCCCTCTGCAAAAAAGAGAGGCAAAAACCCATCCAAAACCTCCGCTCCGTCAATCACCACCATGGCCGCCACCGCTTTCCTCCGCCCTCCTCCGCCTCTCGCCGCCGCCGCCAAACTCCCCTCCCTCGCCATCCCCACCTCCGTCGCAGCCGCGGCCTCTCCGTTCCTCTCCCTCTCGAACCTCACCCGGCCTCTCATTCACGCGAGGCGGAGCCCCTTCCTCGTGCGCGTCGACGACGGCGACGGCGACGGCGGGAGCCCCGACGACTACGACATGGACGAGGACGAGGTCGAGGAGGTCGACAACAAGAAGGATTTCGAGGTCGAGTACGACCCTCTCGCCATGGCCGCCTCCTTCGCCGCCGCTTCCGGCTCCGCCGCGGGGGACGACGACATCGCCATGGTCCACAGCAAGAGCTTCGTCTCCATCCAGGGTTGGGGCTCCGAGATGGTCGTCGATTACAGGATCAATGAGGACGAGTTTCACAAGATCAGCTTGCTTGACTGTGATTTCTTCATCCGGAAGCCTCCCGACCCAGATAACGATGTCTATGATTTCAGAGAGGTCTGTTCACTCTCTCTCTCTCTCTCTCTCTCTCTCTCTCTCTCTCTCTCTCTCTCTCTCTCTCTCTCTCTCTCTGGTTCAATTGAGCTTGTTTGAGGACTGAGGTGATTGCTATTATTTTCACAGATGTATGTAACTCCTCCAGACACTGATATATACGCGATTCCTAAAGTTCTTGCACCGATGCCTCAGAAGGTGATTAGCTTCTGAGAGTTTACCTTCTACTTTTGCGGTATTGACTTGACATTGTGACGTTTCATCACTTGTCACCTCGGTGGCTGTGCTACGATATGCCTAATTCAAATGCTGGACAGTAATTCCTTGATTGACAGAGTTTTGCGCTTGAGATGCATCGCTATGTTTGGGTGGTAATTTACGCTGATTTTGCGGATATGGTTTTGCTCTATGTCCAATTTGCAGTACATTCGATGCGCAATGAGCGATTATGGATGCTACAATGTCACTGAGCCACCCATTGATGCACCTCGAGATCCTATGTATAAGTCTGACAGGGAGATCACGAAGGTAACGGGCTAAAAGGAAACCATTTGTATTTACTTTTGATTGTATTGCCTCTATTTCACTCTTTACTATTACGGATGCTTTGGATGATGTTATTGAATAATTTTGCATCGCGATGATTGGAGAAACATTTCTGTCGAGAAGATTTTGAATTTTATATCTAAAGTAATGTAAAAGTAGTAGCTATTAATTTGTCCCGAAGGTTAATATTAAGTACACTGCAGTAAACAAGAAATGCTAGATGGTAAAAGAGAGCTTGTCAATATTGAAATAAGTGACAAGTAGACATGAGCTGTCTTTGCCCCTCCTCATAGCAAGATAAGTGTCTAGATGTCCAACCAAAAAAAAAAGTGTCTAGATGATGCTCTGATTAAGGGAGAGTTAAGGTGCAACAAATACTTGGCGATACATTCATGCTTTACGCTAGGAACTGCATCCTTGGCACTTGAATATCTTCCACAAACAAAATACTGGGTAATACTTTCTGTTCTCTGCGAAATTTAGACAAATTCCATATCACGATTTTCCTCCGCGGTCTCGCCTTCTTGTTTGTGTGCTGATCCTTACATGTTAATATCTTAATTGGGTCACATTATTGTCGCAGAATCTGGCTATTTTGTTGTAGATATAGTATTTTCCCCATGCCTCTTTATATTACAGAAACTTGGTGGAAGGGGTTCTTCATGATGTTTTACCAAGTTCCTTTTTTTCTTAATTTATTCTACAGAACGACAATCAACGGCATGACTTCTGTCTTCTGCTGCAGGTTTTCCTTACAAAGCACTACAGAAATCGGAGGCTGGGTGACCCAGAATTTGTTCTGGACTTTGAGGAGATATATGTGATTGACTCAAAAACCAAATCAATAACCAGGGCAAAAGTGATTGTAAGATTTTCTTCTGTTCCTCAGATTACTCTTGATTTTTATTTGAGAAATTAAGTAATCAAGCATGCACTGCAAAGGAAAACCAAAAATGAGTAAATCGAGGTGTGTAGGTGGGTCTTTCTTCTTTTCTTTGTTGTTGGTTTTTCCATGGATCCTAGTTGGGTGGAGGGTTTGGCTGGAGGGGTTGGGTATGCAGAAGCCAATACACAAATTGAGTGGCAACAGGGGGTATCTCAGTAGTATGTCTCTGGTATGAATCCAGTTGCACCGAGTTCTTCTGGGTCTTTCACATAATCTTTAATGCCACCATTTTCAAATCATATCTTTTTTTGGATACTGTTGTCACTACAAACGACAATCCAAGTACTGTGACAAATTTTGGCCAAATAGAGAAGTACTGTAGCAACTAGCTCCAGTGGCATGGATGTTGATGATTGATTTTGTTTCATACTGGTTGGCCTTATAATAATTGTGTGATCATAGTGGTGTCCTGTATTTATGCACACGTTATACTTTCCCTGATGGACCTTCACTGTAATGCTTGTTTATTTTAATCACTAAAATACCTTCAGCAGGGCTATTTACCTCTTTCTTCGTTCTGCAGGTCACGGTTCCAGGAGGAAGAAATAGGGATAGGAAGGATGACTTGCTTGTGATACGTGATAATGGGTCCTCCTTCAAGATAATCCATGCTGTGAGTATCTCAGATTAGTATTGTCTCTCTAATTTGTGCATCGGAAAGAGCATGCTATCATCCTTTTGAATGTCCTTTGCATGACTCATCTTCCTTCTTTCATTCTTGCAGAGCGAGAAAGATGATCCCACCACAGTCATAGAGAGGGAAGAGTGGGTGAAGACAAGGCAAGACATGGAGAGACATCTGAGGAAGCTAAGAGACTTTAGCGTTTCAAATTGGTTCTAGATTCACATAATTTAGAGAGTGCTCATTGTAAATTAAGGAGTCGATGGCGAAATTGTGGTGGTTGACAGTTTAGTATCTCAGCCCATGCCATGTGATGACTTATATCGCTTGAGGTTCCTCAGTACAGTAACTTCAAATTGATTATTCTGCAATTGTATCGTGACTACGGGGATGCCCTCTGTGTTCAAATAATATCTATTCTGTCATGTTTGAAATTATTCTGTATGATGATTGCACGGCAGGTTTGGTTAATTCACTCGTATCGAATGAGTTTCGCATTTTGACATACGCTCACCACTTCCTCAATACTTTCTGCCTCGCTTCGATTTTTATGATATCGGATGTAATATTCACCTGGATTATCTCGAGTAAAGTAAAGATTAAAGTTTTAATTGCAATCTATCAAGTGCGGGGATAGTATTAGTTCTCTGAGTACAACATTGGGAGTGCACTTTTGCTTGTGGACAAGATTGTGAGACCTGCAAGACTTGGAGAGAGTCAGAATATGAGTTTTGGAGAACATTTTATGCCAACGAGTATGCATAGAAAGGGGTTGAATTGAATTATATGAAACCAGGAGTATTTCAACTTCTCAACTTTGTGTATTGTTATTTGCTGCTGCTTATAGCACTCTCGTTCATACTTTAGCAGCAAAGCTATGTGCTTTGTCGCTATCATTATATGCACTAGCATCAACATATTGCCATCAATACCTAAGCATTCTGCTGCAAGTATCAATGTTTGCTCCTCCGAAATTGAAGTTGCTGCCTCTTGTATGGGAATATAACTTAACATGGCAGCGGAAAATTGCCCGAGAACAGGTCAAATACTTGTACTTTTACACTAAAGAGACTTAAGTACGTGATTTCCTGTAAGACTTCCATATCTCCGTGTGTGTGCTGACCTATGGAAAATACTTGTTCTTTAGGAGTGAACTGAATTATAAACATGTAAATCACGTCCTATTATACTTGGGTAAAGATACTACAATTCTGAACTTATTTATTTAGTTCATTAATTAATGATGTAATATGTCATCAATTTTCTATATATCAACAAATATGACTATTTTTCACCGAATAAAATATACATTCTTGCTGATTCGGGCTTGGCTTCAATGGATAAAGTAGCAGACACAACTTTTGTCCACACTGTTTGTAACTGCTCCCAGTAATGCCTCAGGACTAAATACATCCCTCCTCATCCGACATAGAGCGGAGTAGAACAACTTTGGAAGCATAGAAGTGCTTAGTGAATTAGTGAGGTATACTTCAATTACCCAGGATAGGAAGAATCTCATGCATCTCCTCTTGATCCCATTCATACGACTAGATAAACGCCAAAAGACTAGGATTCAAACAAGAAGAAAGCAGGGACAGTTCTTTCAAGGTGCATTTCTCCCTACACCTACCCCAGAGGCTCTTAACCTTGGTGCCACAGAAATGTCCTCTCCCCCTGCAATTTTTCAGCAATGGTAGCTTGCTCAGCAGCATAATGACCTTAACACCGGAAACATCTTCAGCCAAATGGCTGTCTGGAAAGTTTCCTACTAATTATTAATGTTCATTCCCTGTGGCAGCGACTAGACAACGCTACCTCTCATGGCATTGAAGAAAATCCCCAAAAGTAAGAGCTGCGTCCAGGGGCTCTTCTCACCATGCTACAAATCCAGGTCTCATTAGAGGGAGTAGATCTGAGCCAAGCCCAGTCTGATGATCTGAGCACTTCCTGCACCACACCCCACCCAACCCTGTGGCTATTACTTACTAGCAAACTTTGGCAGCTCTTTGATTTCACTTCAGTGAAGCGCAAAGTCACCTAAACCAAACCTGAAAAGAAGGAGATCACAAATCAAACAATAAAAGCAGTCTTTTATAGGGGAATGGTCCAACTGGTAGAACGCAGAGTGCTATTTAAGCAAGCAATCTTCCAGATTCCAAAAGCAACACAAAGTGAGCTAGGATATACCTGCACATTGTCATGGTTGGATGCTCCAGCAGTGGCAACAGCCGCAGATACTACTGCATGCTGCATGCTGCATGAAAATAGTATCTAAGATCCCGGATATGCAACAGGAAAAGAAAACAAAGAGGACAAGATAGGATGGTACAGGAGCTTTACGCATGTGATCATTTGTTTCCATCAACAAACAGGAGAAAGCATCACAGCATCACGTAGTCTGATTTTGTCAGAATGTTGAATTCACTCCATCAGCAAATCACTATTCACTCCTAGCACAGATATGCCCTATCCAGGCACTGAAACTGGAAGCATTGAACAAACTCAAAGATATAACGCCAACCATAAGGATTAGAATAGATTAAGCAGACTACGTACATACAGCAATCTGGAAAAAAGTGCCAATCTGACCTTATGCGCCTTTCTTTTCCTTCAAGTTGCTTTGCGGTTTGCACCTATGGCCATTTTTCCTGGTAATAATATCAACAGTCCAACACCACGAAATTCTGGGGTTTCCATACATGATGCCAGTAGGTTCAACAGAAAGCCATAGCAAAGTAGGTGACGTCAACCTTTTACAGCTGTTCCTTCATCTTTGACCCACACAACATTCTGCTTTTGAAAGATCGAAGATGATAAATTTTGGGTGATGATGGAAGATACAACACAAGAACAAATTTTTAAATGGTAGGAACAGAAGCTTCAACAATTAAAATGCCATAATGTATCTGGAGGACAGCATTAACAGGTTTTAACAAAAATCTTTCATTGAAATAGCAAATCTTATTAGGGGAAAAAGAATGAAAAGTCCAAGAAATTAAATCTTGATCATTGCATCTATAATATACATGGGAATGACACAATCATGATAAAACAAATATTCTGATATTTTAACCACACCGAATGTTTATGCATGCCAAGGATATTGGCGTTTTTGTGTGTGCGCATGTGAGAGAGAGAGAGAGGGAGAGAGAGTTACATGTGTAGAACAAATGGCAAATTTGTACGAACCGCCCACCTACATTTACTTTAAACTTGACATGCTCGAGCAATTAATAGACCAAATTTTACGTTCCAATCACCAGAGTCTTCAGTACTCTAAAAGTTCAGCAAAGCTGCTCTTTCTTTTTCTAAAACTATCAAGTTTTTCAAACAAACTAATTAGTCCAGTAACATCAACATGAGATAATAGGATTATAGATATCTAAGTTCACTTCACTGCCTATCTGGACTATGCATAAAGAGCAAACAGAAACTGTGCATGTCCTACAATTTAAGCACGTCATGATGAGAGAGAGAGAGAGAGAGAGAGAGAGAGAGGGACAAACCATCTGGTATAAACTGTCTGACAGCTGCAGAACTTCATCCCATTTATTGATTTTGACAAGGCCTCTGATGAGGTCTACAAATGTGCTTAACTTTGGAATACCACCGTGCTTTATCAAGTCTGCATACAGCTCAAAGGCCTTATCAACCTTACCGGCAAGACAGAGGCTTTCGATAAGTGAAGCATAGACTGTTTTGTAGCCAGCTAAACTAACTAAAGATGATCTGATCTCTTCATGTAGATCCAAAGCTACCTCCAATCGTCCAGCCTTGACAAAATTATCTATCAAAACATTGTAGACCGGAACAAGAGGCACCGAATCACTGGCACCCATGTCATCTAAAAGCCCAAGAGAAACTATAAAGTCACGATTAAAACCTTCAATGACTTTACGGTAGCCAGCTACATGCCTAGGCCAATATGTTAGTTTCATCTCATCCAGAAGTTTATAAGCATCATCAAGAAGGCCAGCAGCACAACAATGGTTTATTAAAACCCCATAAGTCACAAAATTTGGAGCACAACCCTTAGTACGCATCTGTTCAAAAAGCTCAAAGCATTTGTTGATTTTGCCCACTTTACCAAGACCATCTATAATTGCGGTATAAGTCACAACATTAGGATGACAACCCTTTTCCTCCATCATCACCAGAAGTCTATATGCCTCATCATTCTTTCCCACTTTACATAGGCCATCAATCATCTCTGTGTAGGTGACGACATTAGGAACACAAGAGTTCTCTAGCATTTTGGTTAAAACTTTTAAAGCTAGATCGAGCCTTTTATCCTTAAACAATCTGTCAAGCAAAGAACTGTATGTATACACATTGGGACTATACCCAGACTCTGACATCTTAGCAAAAACCTCTTGCGCTTCATCAAGTTTCCCAACCTTACAGAATCCATCTATGAGAGCATCATAGACAATTTGGTTTGGTTCACAGCCTGCCACTGACATGGCATCTAATAATTCACGAGCTTCTCTGACCTTGTGAGCTTTGCATAAACCGTCAATTAAAGCCCCATAAGTGAAAACATTCGGTTCTGTTAATTCATTTTCACTTGCTCCAAAATACATATTTATATCGGCAAGATTTGCATTTCCCCTCATTTTCGAATATATTTGGCATGCCTTTTCAATTTCTCCAGCTTTACAATGACCATCAATCAAAGCAGTATATGTAACCACATTAGGAGAGCAACCTTCAGATAACATAGACTCAAAGAGTTGATTTGCACGAGAAAGCTTCTTTGCCTTGAGATGAGCGTGGATGAGAGCAGTGTAAGTCACCACATTAGGTGCACAGCCATCTCTCACCATCTCGTCGAACCAGCGACATGCCTGCTCAATCAGTCCAGCCTTACAAAAACTATCAATCAGAATTGTGTATGTGTAAACATCAGGAACAACGTCATTACTCTTCATCTCTTCGAACAGTGTAAACGCTTTATCTACCTTGGATGCATCGCACAGGAAACTGATCACTTTGGAGTATGTGCTACAATCAGGTATGAATCCTTTACTCATCATCTCACGAATGATGCGATGTGCTTTCTCAAATTTTCCAGCCCCACAGAGACAACGAGCAAAGTTAGTCACATTTACTTTATTCAATACGACCCCAGCATCCAGCATTTCATCGTAAGTATTCTCAGCTAATTCAAGTACATCTGAGCCAGGCAATTCCTCATTACCACATAATCCACCAAGTAATACGTTGTAGACCACATAACCAGGACGATACCCACATTTAACCATTTTTTTCAGTAACTTATATGCATAAGAGTAGTCCCTCGAATTACAAAAAGCATGAACGAGAGAAACAAATATTTGGTGACCTGGATAACAACCCTCAGGAATCATCATACTGATAATCCTCTTGCACCTGCCTAACTGTCTTTTCCTCAAACACCCAGAAAGCAAAACATTGTAGGTCACAACATTAGGAATGCAACAACTAGAGCGCATCCTATCCAAGAACTCCATAGCTTCGTCAAAAAGGGAAGCCTCACATAAACCGGCAATCATTTTTGTGTAAAGTACAGTGTCAGGAAGGAATTCTTCACTCTCAATCAACACGAGGGCTTCCCTCCACTTCCCTGACTTGCAGAGAGAATATGCAAAACAACCTAAGGTATGGCCATCCATATGAAACCCTGAGTCTGACATTTCCCTGTGAACTAAATAAGCTGTATCTAACCTATCAGCTTTAAGAAAAACTTGAACCAAAGCATTATACGTCGATTGAGTTGGTCTGTACCCAAAATCCTTAAGCCTCCCTAGTTCTTCCAGCGCTAAGTTCCACGAGCCATTTCGACAACATCTTTGAATCAAAACATTAAGCAACTTACCGAGGACTTCCGCATCTTCGACCCCTATTTCTCTCCAAAACGACTCAGGTATTCTCTCACTATCGCTGCAACCGAGTCTTTCCAGCAATGCATTATACACAACCACCGTATGAGTATATCCAATTTGTCTACCTGCCCACGAAAAGAACTTAACAGCCAATTCGGGGTTTTTTACAATCTTCAAAACCTTAATCACCAGATATGGATTTAATTTCTCTCTAAACTGCCTGAGAAGCTTCTGAGTTTCGTCGCCAAACCCATTCTTGCAATTTTCAATGGCATTTGCAATTAAAACAGCATCGTCTTCACACGTATCATTACCAAGATCATGCGCGGAGGACTCAATGCCGTGCCTCGAACCCGACAACGACTCGCGCAGGAACTCAAACTCTGTAGCTGAAAAGGCCTCGACCCGAGAAGCTGCGGCCAAAACCGGGTCGTCCGGATCAATCAGACCCTCGAGATCGTCGGGCGATGAGGTGGAGAAGGATCTGGTATTGTTGGAGTCCAACAAGCACTGAATGGGGAATTCAAGAGAGGTAAAGGGATGAAAGCGGGACGATGGTGGTGCACGTGAAGGAGGGATAGTGACCTGCTTCTTAGGCTTGAAAGTCGAAAGAGCAATGGGAGTTGAGCGACGAAGAAGGTGCAGGAGCCCCCTTCTGCGCATATCTGGTTTGATGCTCCAATGGGGAATGCGCAGCGATGTCCTTGTTAATACCCCGGGAAGCTTTCCCTAGGGTTTAAAAGGTGGGATTTTGGAGAAGAAGACAGCATCAAGTTTGCTTTTTTACTTTGGTAAAACAGTATCAAGATGTTCTCTAGTTGTTTGAATGTGCATTGAAGTGAAATGACATGGAGGGTAATTAATAAGTGAGTAAATTTACTTAAAATGATTTTTTTATCCGTTCTATATTCGAGAAAAAAGTGAGGGGTGATAATAAAAAAAAAAGAGCAAAAAGTTTATTTCCCATCAATTCTTTCCAATTTAGAACGAAAATAAATAGTGTGGATGAAATACTTCCTTTTCATTTTAGATCTATTTCCTTCTGGAATAATAACATAAATGGTCCTTGAACTTTGGTGTAATGTGCAATATCGTTCCTTAATTTTTAATTTATGCAATGTGGTCCCTAAACTTTGATCTAAAGTGTAATGCAATTCTTAGATATTTAATTTGTTCAATATGATTCTTGAATTATTGGTAAATGTTTAATATAGTCCATAGACTATATAAAAATGTTCAAAAGTTTAAAGACCACATTGAATATTGGATCAAAATTTATGCACCATATTTAATAAATTAAAAGTTTTGAATGCTTACACATTAAATCGAAATTCATAGACCATTTACGTGATTTTCCCTTTGTTTCTACTTTTTTTTGGCAAGTTTTTTTTTTTTTTTGGTAAGAACTTTCTTCTCTTCTTTTTCAACTGAAAAAAGGAAATTCTTCCCTTAAAATTTTTGGTTACTTTCACTTCCCTCCCAGCCATAGCATATTCTTTGTGGCTACAACTTCATGACTTTTAATACATTAATAGAATGCAATGACGGATTCGTCAATTTCAAACCAATTAAATTAAGGATAATGATACAAATAGTTTTTTGAACTTTGGCTCAATGTACAATATAGGCTCTAGACTTTTAATTTGTTCAACGTGATCCTTAAACTTTAACTCAACGTATAACGTGGTCCCTGAACTTTTAATTTATTCAAGATTGTCCCTAAACTTTTAATTAATGTTCAATTTAGTTTCTGGACTATATGAAAAATGTTCAACAACAATGTCATATAGTATTGGGATTAGATTGAACATGTATCAAAAGTTCATGGACTACATCAAATAAATTAAAAATTCAGAAATCACATTACACATTGGGCTAAAGTTTACGAACTAGTTGTATCATTCTCCCTTTTAAATTAATATGAAGACAGTAACCATAGCAACTACCTTTTGTCATGTATTCGTAATTGAACAAGTGATAGAGAAACGTAAATCTTGCAAAACAACACAATATTAGGGTGTGTTTGTCTGGGGAAAAACTTTATGATTAAAGAAATTTTCAGGAGAATTCTTTAAAGGAAATCATTTTTCAGGAAAATGGTTACTTTTCCTTTATTTTGTGATATGTGATCGAAAACTTTTTCTGTGTTTGGATCTCATTTGAAAAATAATTTCAATCTCATGATTTTATCTCGGGCAAAAAAAATTAAATTTTTAAATAATTTGTATTCTTTTCTTTTTATTCTATTTTTCTTTTCCTTCTTCCTCCTTCCTCCTTCGCCAATCACCAGGCCTCGGCGATGACCGTGCTAGGCCACTAGTGAGGGCCAACCTAGCCAGCCTTAAGCAAGGTCAAGCCTCATTGAGATATGGCGAGACTTGAGCTCACCTAAGGCCAGCCCTCACCGGCATGCGCTTGTGGTCGGTCATCGGTTGTCGTTGAGGCCCGATGACCGGTGGAGGAGGAAGAAGAAAAAGAAAAAAAAGAAAAGAAAAATAAAATATTAAAAAAATTCAAGATGAGTAATTCTATAAAGTTTTTTTCACCTTCTTAGATTTAGGAATTCACATTCCTAATTTTCGGTTGACTAATCATTTTCGACGGACCAAACGGGTGAAAGTTCGAAAATCTAATTCTGGCAAAATGCTTTCTTTTAAACAAACACATCTTAAAAGCAATACAAAATGCAGGTGTATTATTAGTTGCAAGATTCGAGCCAACTCTTACAATGTGAGCGTAAACATATTCCTTTACCACCATGATAATCAAGATGAAAGAGTCAAAAGCAATTTCGTTGGATATTTTTAATCAATTTCGGCACTTTCCTTTCGAAATGAAAAGAGAAATATCTAATTTTAAGCTAAAAAATTAAGAAAAATGTGGATATTTATAAGATGAGCTGCTTTGTGTTAGATAATAGAAAAGCATAATGACATAAATGATCCTCGAACTTTGGCCAAATGTGTAATGTAATTTATGCTTTTAATTTATTCTGTACGGTCCATGTACTCTAACTCACTATGTTATTTGAACCTTTAATTCGTTCGATATAGTCTTTAGACTTTTAATACATGATCAATTTAATTTCTGAATTATATGAAAATATTTAATGCTGTACATGAACTTGAATTAATAGAAAGACAATAGTTAATATTTTCATGTAGTTCATGGACTAAATTGAACATGTATAAAAAGTCTAAAGGACCACATTGAATAAAAAATATTCAGGAATAATATTACACATTAGGTTAATATTTAGATATCACATTGAAAAAATAAAAAATTTAAAGATCATATTACACGTCGAGCAAAAGTGCGCCGACAATCCATGTCATTTCCCCCCAAAAAAAAAAAGCCAGAACGCGAGACAGACGACAAAGAGGGGGCGATTTCGACCGAAGGACGACGATGGCACGGACTCCCATCTCTCTCTCTCTCTCTCTCTCTCTCTCTCTACAGAGGAGTACAGTTTAGTCGCCTCGTCTCACCTTGACAATTGCGCTCTCTAAACCACCGTCGTCGTCGTCGTCATCGTCGTCTAGAGGAACAGAGAAGTAGAATTCACCCCTGACCCGACTTTCTCTGCCCCCCTGCGCGTCTGCTAAGTTTCGTCTCCCTGCCGAGGTAATCCGATGCTAGTTTCGCTCTTCAGTGTTTGGTTTCGATCATCTTCAGGCTGCTAGATTCTTTCGCAGCCTGGATTTCTTCTGATAAAACTTCCATCGGTCAATTCGGGGTTTCGTGGTTTTTCTTTTTCCCCCATTTTCCCTATTTTTTTAGGGTTTTCTATTGATGGCACTGAAATGGATGTTGCCGTCGCTTGTCCGGTCGAATCACTCGCGATTCCGATACGATGATTCGATGTCTATGCCCGCGTGCCCGTGAATTCTGCTTGTGATCCCGTGAATGTTGCTGTCTCGTGTTAGTTCGATTGCCGGCGCGCCGATCTGAATCATTAAGGAGACGCCCTTTTTTAATTCCGTTGGTTAATTTTCGGTTTTGATATCAAGCAATCTAAGATACAGTTGCATGCATGCTCCTGCTTTTCGACAAGGTTGCATTCCCCAAAAATGTAGCTTTTTAGCTATTCAAGCTATTTTTTTTTTTTTAAATTTCTTTACACATGTCTGCAAAGAGCTTATTTAGAGTTTTAAGTATCATTCTAACGCTCGACAAATTAAGATTTTTGTTTTCTTACCTGTTCTAAGTAGATGGAGCAGTCTCTCTTGTCTCTTACGTATAAAGGATCGATACTAGAAGCAATTTCTGAAGCCAAAGTACAGAGGAAACTTTTTGTTGTCTACATTTCAGGTAATCGCTCTTTGATAATGAGGTCATATTGCCTCGGTGAATACCGATGAATAATACTGAGATAGGTGTTGAGACTCTTTTGTTCCTGCCACTGCATATATGGACCCCCCTTTCAATTTCCTCATCGTGTATTCTGTGTCTCCTCTTTTTTTTTATCTTTTCTGCTATGTTCTTCACGTAGCGATGTCATGGTCTCTGTGACTTTTAGCTGGCAGTCGTACCTAGGCTGCGCAATTCTCTGTGTAGAGAGAAGATTCCAGGACCTCTTTTGCAGCTAGGCTATTTGATTGTTCGATTCGTGGATAAGAAGGACACAGTTGATTTACATTTAGGATGTCACTAACTGTTGTCCCGTTGCCGCATGTCAATACGATGCTAATTGCTTGTAATCCTAGGTTAGGGTGCATCCTGTGGACATAAGATTAAAAGCATTTGGGTACCGTTTAGTTTTATCCAGGAGTTAAACCAGGAAGATCCATTGAACTCATGCTTTGAAGGAAGGGGAGCAGACTCTTGTGTACATAATTTGTGTACATATATGTTTAAGTGTTGGCTCATGGATGTGCTCATGACATGTAGTCCTGGACGCGGATTTCTTTTCTTCTCTTTCATTTTAAAACTTTCCTTGATGTTGTACACTGCATTTATTTATATATATGCTTTTCCCTTTTTCTTACCCTGTAATTAGTTACAGAGTAATTCTATCTGGTCAATGCTATATTCTTGCTTCAGTATTCCTTCAAAAGCAAGAGTTGGTCCAGGGGAGACCTTTTTTTGATCTAACAACAATAGTCTTTTCATTTTATGTAATGTTAAGTTTACATGACCCCGCCTTCTCATCCAATGACAGGTGAAGATGCAGAATCAGCACGCATGGAAGAAACTACTTGGAGGGATTTCCGTGTAAGTTTTATGGTTTAGTGCTCAAAGGGTGTTATCTAAGTAGCCTCTACCACTTTCATGGCATCAGTCTACTTTTTCTTTGAAATTTTTTGTGCTAACCCACTGTACTGTTGGTGCTTTGATGCTTCAATCAGGTGTCAGAGTCACTGTCCAAGTACTGCATTTTTCTTCATGTCCTTGAAGGAAGTACAGATGCCACTAACTTCTCAAAAATATGTATCCTTTTCTTGGAATGCTTCTCGTTGATATTTTTTTGTTGGTTTGTAGTTTTTTTTTTTTACTATGGCTGCTATGTTCTTCATGGTTTTACAAATTGATGTCTTCATCTATTTCTGCGCCTTTTTTCCTTTAGAAAATAGTTTTAGCTTTTGTCCAAACAATGAGCATAGGAAAAGTTTTTCTGCCATGTTTGAAGTTTTTTCTTCATGTGCACTTTTGAAATTGCTGGAATGTTATCCATATTCTGTAGAAGTGTGAATTTCTCTCTCTGCATAACGTTTCATTTGCGGGATCAATTTTTTTTTAAACAAAAACCCTATCCTTACATCAA